CTTAAGAAAAAGCCAAAACTCGAATGCGAATATCTCGAAAACAGAGCGTCGGAAGTGGGTACTTACGAAGGGCAAGTGATACATCTTTTAGAAATGTACGCACATTTTTCCCGGGTGGGTCTTTGGTTTTTCCGCTACGCAGTTCTAGAGTTCGAATCGACCGTCATAATTAGTGACAATGCGACCCGATCAACCTCTACATTCGCTTTTAATAGTCCTAATCATTTCGTGGCTTTTTGAGTTGCAGCCTTCTCAAACGTATAGACTTGCGACTGGAATTGGGCAAAAGTCACTTGGTATTTCCATTTACTTCCCACAAAACTGCACCTTCTGATCCGAATTCATTTAATAAACATAAGAAAATCGAACGATGACGGTTTATTTCAAGGTTTTTTTGTCGTGCACTTGGGGCCAATTACATGCAGCTGCATTAAATTAAAATTAAAGAAAACCGAAGGACGTCTCTATGATTGAGGTTAAATTTAGAGTAAAATCTCCCGACCTATATAACTCGACACTTATTTATAACCAATTAAGGCTTTGGCCCGAAAGGGTCGAAGCTCGACTCTTTAATTCCTTCGAACGTCCTTGCGTCTCGACCGCTATCCATCTTTGGAGCACGTTAATAAAAAAATTTCAACCCAACGCCGATACAATCACGGTTACACTTTTGGAGCAGCGGAGGTATTGACAGTAATTTATTTACCTGTGACTAAATATGGCGATGGAATCGTAAGCGAGTTGTTTTCTATGACCACCTCTACGTTATTAATTTGCACAAATGTAAGGATTCGAAGTTCTGGTCAGTTTTATGTTGGTCGCGTTGTTGTTCTGGTGCGTTCGTCTTCTGTCCGTTATGCTGGAAGATCATAACGGAAATTGATTGACGTTTTTCTATTGTGAAGTATATACTCGCGTGGTATAATGGTTGTCAATCAGAGGTGCATTGTTAGCACAAACCCGTGGAATTGCAATAGGTATGTACGTCGAATTGCGACATCTACGTAGGTCATTTCTTAATTTGGAAATTTCCTTTTTTGGTATTTTTATGTAACTTACAGCGTAGTAAAGGAACGCTTGCCAAAAATTCGACTATTTTTAAATTACGCGCCATAAACCCATTCCACCCAAAGGCTCCGACTTGCTCTTGGAAAATGGTAAGGCCGTTATGGATCTTGTTTAGTTCCGGAATGTCACTTTAAAATGGCGAAAACTCGTGGGCGACACGAAGCCCACACAATTGATATTTTCGCACCATTTTCAGCTTCTAATAAAATTTCCAATGCTGAAGTAGGTTTTTTTGTTTGGAATGTATTTGGGCAGTGTGTAAATGTCCTTTCGTGCGGTTCAAGGATTAAACCTACGTTTTCAATATCTCGGGCAGTTTTTCGAACGGAAACCTGAAATTTGGAAGATTCGGTTTGGGGCCATTTCTTCTTCAATTAGACTTGAGGTATATAGAAAATAATGTGAGGTCTTCCATGTATAGGGAAAAACGGTATTAGCAAAACGGAAAGTGAATAAGAAGATCGGCACATATTGCTTAAACGAACCCGATGTGACGGTGGGTGGGGAGAGGGCGATACCTTCCCCCGCAAGGTTGCGGATCGTGAAAAAAATCGTGGGCCTATCATTACGATTTAAAAATTAGGTGTGAATCGATTCAAAGCGTTAATACCGCAGAAAATTTTCCAAATTGGTTTAGGAAATCTTGCTTTGTTTAGTGGCTTACATCTAGACTTGTTCTGATTATTTTTGTAGTATCTGTAAATTTTCCATCAGAAAATATTTCCTACATATTTCCAACAGTTGACATTTTCAAAACATTTTTGAAAGTTTCTACACCGTTTATCAATTTTTAGATATTTCCGAAATTTTATTCACTTTTTTAGAACTTGCACCACATTTCCAAAATGGTCGGTTGTAGGTACATATCACAGTTTTGCTTTTGGAGATAAAGTCGCCTTTTACAATATGAAATATTTGTGTTCAAATTTTTCAATTTTTATGGGGAAGGTTTAGTATATTGACCCCCCGGTTTATCATTTTACTCCATTTCGATCAAGACAATTTTACAGATATCGCAGACTCTGGTTTTGTGGCGAAAGTTAGACTGTACCCCCTTGTTTTCGTTTTGGAACAATTGATCAATGCAGACTAGCGATCGAACGGACGGAGTTTACTCAGGTATTCGCAGCTCGCAGTTGAAAAAGGAGCTTTTAATAGAACCACAGTCGAGTATGGTTTCAATTAGAAAAAAAGTGTATTATTAAGCATTAAGAAACTCGAGTGAAGATCAAGAATGGGAGCCTGTCTGGACTTTAAAACCTCCAGTTCCAGAAGCTTTTGTAATCTTAGTAAAATGTGGATGTAAGAAAGGTTGCACACAAAGATGCAGCTTTGTCAAGTCCGATGTGGCCTGCACCGAATTGTGCGACTGCGGAGGCGAGTGTTCTCAAGATAGGGCTCAATAATTTTAGTGCCGTAGATATTGTTAACTTTCCTTTCAGCATTGTACTGTCTCAATAAATACTTTAGAGCATAGTATAATATTCAATAGAGCAGCCAAAAGAGGTCTCCGTCACGATTTTACTGTCCGCACTGCAATACCGAGATTGCGGGATCCCGAAATACCGGGATCCCGCAGCATTTTTGCGAGATTAATCCCGCGCATAAATGGAGCGGGATCCCACGGGATTTGCGGGACTGAGGAATTTGTCGACCAAGGGGACGACTCTGTTTACTTTGTTAATGAAACTGATAACGGCGAATTATTTTTTAAATAATTGTTAAACTTTTTTCGTTAAAAATGTACTATGATTTTTGAGGCACTTTAGAAGACCCTTTGTGCTTTACCGGTAAGGTTTTGTTGAGTTCTAAGTTAGGCCGAAGGTACTTTTTTGTTAAATATTGTGATAATTAGCGATTTATTTTAATACAGGAGTTAACCGCACAGAATTGCTTATTTGCCAATTTATTTAAAGTTTTGCGAGATCCCGCAAATTCCGGGATCCCGCGGGATTAACATCTAACAATCCCGCAAATACCAGGATTGAGATTTTGCTGCGGGATTGCATTCCCTACTAGAAACCAATTTCGAAAGAAAATTCAAAGGGCTGTAACTTTTGAACTAGTAGCCCAATCTTGGAACAGTTTGAAATTATGGATTCTACAGGCCACATTCTATAAGAAAATGTTTTTTCCCGGTCGATCTGAGACAATTTTTTTTGGGGGCCTCAAAAAAAGGCAGTGTACAACCTTCCTTTTTTACCAAAAATCGACTGCACCAAAATTTCTCGGGAAAACACTTTTTCTTATTAATTTTGGTGCGTAAAATCCAAAACAATTCGTACTTTTTCGATCAGACTTCTCAATCAAAAGTTATAGACTAGAAACCAATTTCGAAAGAAAATTCAAAGGGTTGTAACTTTTGAAATAGTAGCCCAATCTTGGAACTGTTTGAAATTATGGATTCTACAGGCCACATTCTATAAGAAATTTTTTTTCCGGGTTGATCTGAGGCATTTTTTTTTTAGGGCTTCAAAAAAGGCAGTGTATTATAACCTTCCTTTTTTTACCAAAAATTGACTGCACCAAAATTTCTCGGGAAAACACTTTTTCTTATTAATTTTGGTGCGTAGAATCCAAAACAATTCGTACTTTTTCGATCAGAGTTCTTCATAAAAAGTTATAGACTAGAAACTAGGGAATGCAATACCGGGATTGCGGGATCCCGAAATACCGGGATCCCTCAGCATTTTTGCGAGATTAATCCCGCACATAAATCGAGGGATTTGCGGGACTGAGTAATTTGTCGACCAAGGGGACGACTCTGTTCACTTTGTTAATGAAACTGATAACGGCGAATTATTTTTTAAATAATTGTTAAACTTTTTTCGTTAAAAATGTAGTATGATTTTTGAGGCACTTTTTGTGCTTTACAGGTAAGGTTTTTTTGAGTTCTAAGTGAGGCAGAAGGTACTTTTTTGTTAAATATTGTGATAATTAGCGATTTATTTTAATACAGAAGTTAACCGCACAGAATTTCTTATTTGCCAATTTATTTACAGTTTTGCGAGATCCCGCAAATTCCGGGATCCCGCGGGATTAACATCTAGCAATCCCGCAAATACCGGAATTGAGATTTTGCTGCGGGATTGCATTCCCTAGTGCGCACTGTTAAAAGCGCCTTAAAAATAGGTAAACCACGTAAAATACCCTAAATAAATTCTCCCTGGGTATTTGACAATTCCCTTCAACCTTCCTAGATGTAAGAAAATACAAAACAAACGCTGGACATACATTTTTGACCCATTTTATAGGCGGGTATTGAAATGCTACCTTGCGCTTAAGAAACCCGCTATAGCAAGTGCCGTCCGGAGTTGCGGGGGTGGCGGCATAGCTGAAATTGAACCTTAGGGTGTCTAGAACGTCCTCTGAAAGTTTCATAAAGTTATCACAAAATGCAAGGTTGAAACCTATTTTGGCTCTTAACCCCTGCACTATGGGGCCATTTGCCTAAAAATAGTTCCAACACTTCAGATAGGGGTACGGACAAAACGTAAGCAATAGCACCTAAAAAATAAATTAATTAAATTATACTCGGCGTAATTGGCGAAATAATTAACTGGTTCTTCAAAGTAATTAAAAAAACAATCTAGTGAGTACCCTTACTGCCCTTGTCTGTGGTAATTGGCCCGAAAATTAGATTGTAGTAAATTTCAGCATTTGTATAACAGTTTTTTTATGTAAGGAATTCTCTGCCTACCAATTTCCTACTCTCCTCGTAGATTTGGAGACTATTGCAGTTAATTATTTAATAAACGTTTGCACGTGAATGAGTTCCCGTTAATTCACCCTGCCGTTTGATACACGCCTTCCTGTCGTGGTCATGACCGTGACCGCGATAACGTGGGCAATTCCGGAGATTCCTTCACCTTATCAAAATTGTTATCAAATCCGCGTTCCTTGCGTATTTAAATACTCGCTTTTTGTTTCAGGTCAGCACTTCAGACTCTTCATAAGGCGAGTTCCAAAGCGCGCGAACAGAACTACTTCCAAGGCGGTCTATCACACGATTGGGTCGATTACTATGAGCAAAAAATCGAATCGGATAGATCATGCCTTAACGAATGGCACGCGATGGATGATTTGGAATCGAAGCGGCCCCCATCTCCCGATTCCGTTCGAACGAAGCCCACCGAACGGGAGGAGGCCGAAAAAGTAATTAGATCCACCCTGAAAGAAATTATGATGAGCGTCGACTTAGATGAGGTCACAAGTAAATGCATTAGAATTAAACTAGAGGAGGAGTTAGATATGAATTTAGCCGAATACAAATCGTTCATCGATCAGGAGATGTTAACCATTTTGGGCCAAATGGATGCACCTACCGAAATTTTTGATCACGTGTATTTGGGATCTGAATGGAACGCTTCCAATTATGAGGAACTCCAGAGGAATGGGTAAGATATTTTTCTTTGCCTTACTTGCGGTATACTAAGTCGCGTGTAATTGTTACAGCGTGCGTCATATTTTAAATGTGACCAGAGAAATAGACAACTTCTTCCCGGGGACGTTTGACTACTTAAACATTCGCGTATATGACGATGAAAAGACGGACTTGCTGAAGCATTGGGATAACACGTACAAATACATAACAAAGGCTAGAAAGGAAGGATCAAAGGTTCTCGTCCATTGTAAGATGGGTATAAGCCGATCAGCTTCGGTCGTAATTGCTTATGCGATGAAGGCGTACAATTGGGATTTTAAAACTGCAATGCGACATGTTAAAGACAAACGCAGCTGTATAAAGCCCAATACTAGTTTCGTAACGCAACTGGAAACATATCAAGGTATTCTGGACGCAATGAAGAACAAAGAGAAACTGCAGAGGTCCAAATCGGAAACAAATTTAAAATCGCCCGGCGAAAAGGGCGAACGTTCATTACCACCCGGTAGCCAACCCACTCCGCTACTACAAGCCTTGTCGCGAAGCGCAGTTTTGCAAACGACCATGTCGGGGCAAGACTTACGACAGCTCGGAACGCGACCGAAGTCGTGGTCGCCCGAGATCTCCCAGGACGCGGAAGTTCTGTCAACGTCAGTCACGCCCTTTCGCTCCCTGGAAAATCTGAACAGAAAATCCTTGTCGAAGGAATCGTTAGGCTCATTAAGGAGGCACAAAAGTGTTACAAAACTCCACAGAAATGTATTACTACCATGTGATAATGGAGAATCTTACAGCGTTTCCCCAAACCAAATCAGGCACTTACCTGGACAGCTTCCGTGCGACATTGAAGCCGTCGCGGCCACCGTCAAACAAATGGTGAACGAATTCGAATTACAAAGTGAAACTGGCAGTTCCAAGGAGTGTCGCAAGAAATTAGTTTTAAATCTAACGCCAAATGCGGACGAGTCGCCACCAACTTCCCCATCAAATAGTTCCTCAAATCATCCATTGGATGACGTTCTGCCGACATCTAAACTAACACCGCCAACGCTTAGAGCGGTTCTCGTCAAAAAAGAAATTTGGGACCCCGGAGAACAAAAATCGATCGCTTACTCAAACGACTCAACCAATAATGCCTGTGATTTTAATTGTAGTGTAAATAGTGAACAATGTGAACCCGAACAGACAATGTGGACGGCCTCTACAGTACTGCAACCTGTTGAAGCATGTGCTGCTCCCTATAACGACAGTGTAAACGAAGTTCCTGATACCTATCAAACTAAATTGTGTAAAGACGGTGATCCATTCTCTAATCAATTGGATCGCGTATTCGATCGCGAGGAAAGAAAGCAACAGCGCAATTCCGTTATTCCACTCTTACCACCGAACATTATAGAGGGCGCTGCCGACGATTCCCCCCGCGATTGTCCCTCGAGACAAAGTTCGTGGGGCTCCTACGACAGTGCCGTAGTATTAGGTTATCAGAGTGAAACTCGGGACGCACCGTCGCGCCACAGCTCACTCGGATCGGGAGACACGCGAACTTTACCTTCGCGGAACAGCTCCTGGGGATCCTACGACATGCGACCCGGGGGCCCCGTCTATTATATGAATGAGAAAGGCGAAAAGACTCTGCACGTCGATACGGCTGGAAATTGTGATGAAACCCCCTGGTATCCAGGGACGGTTAGGCGATCGAAACGGAGATTAGAGGAGGGGAAGTCGCCCTCATTAGAAACGCTTCAATGCGAATTTCCGGACAGAGAAAACGTAGTTGAGGCATTTAATTTGGCTCTCATAGAGAATTTGCCCGAAAAGGAAACGGTTTCTAGTGCCATATCATCCGAAATCAACATAGTAAAACCGAAAGAAAACAGCTTAAACGTATATAACTGTACTCGTTTATCGGCAAGCGCACCAGAAAGATCTTCGATCGATATCATCCCTCAAGAAGGTGGTTCACTCTCTCGTTCGACATCAAATGTTAGTCAAATGTCAAATTTAAATGTGATATCTACTGCACAGTGCTCTTCTGTTAAAAAGCACAAACATTTCATGGAATCCTTGAAGGATTCCAAAGTACTTAAAGAAGAACTGCCACCAGAACCCGACCACAATATTTCGGGCATCGTACGAAGTTTAAAAAAGGAGTTTGAGGCGAAGACTGTTACTAACGTCGAACGAATGAATCAAACAAATGTGGAAATTGCTCAGGACGACAGCTCGAAACCTAAGAGTCTACCGTCGTCGCCGCACAGCGTTCACATTGAGAAGGATAAATGCGATTTAAGCCCTACCAATTCAGATCCGGGCGAAGATCTAAGCTTTAAAATGCTAATCGGCAAATTTGAGGATTGCACAAAGGGCAAGGAATCCCAAGTTAATCTCCGACCGAAAGTATTCACGCCAAATAATCATCGTACTAGCCGTTTTTCCTGCATCGAGGTCTCGAACGACACTTCCTCTCGAGCGCCTCTCATCAGTAGTTTTAATATAAGCAAATCGTTCTCAGAAAAGTCGGGCAACCATTCGAAGCGACCGCCGATCGCTCCAATAAAAAATCCCACGCCTAACGTTGTCGTCGCAACCGTCATTGCGAAGGCCAGCTTGAAACAGCAGCAGTTTGGTAAAAGTCATCCCTTAGCTAAAATAAATATAAAACCACGGCGGAATCCTCTATACAATACGATGTAAGGAAAGCTCAACATCTGCTCACCTACTCTTAGAAAATTAGCAATTTTGTGATCTCCAACGATTGTGTTTATATAAATTTAGTGGCAAGGAATTTTGCATTTTTTTTAGATTCATTTAATAAAACATTTTGTTACACGATTTTCTATTTGTTTGAAACGTTACAGATTTGCCAAACTATGGACCATTTAAGCTATAAGGATTCTCAAGTAAACCATCATAAGGTATTTTAAGCTGTTGTAACAAAGAGCATTTTTCTTAAGTTAAATCGTTACAGCTTAGGTTAGATGGCTGTCCAGAAATCTAGTCTTGTATGTTTGCGATTGATTGTATTTGTTGTGAGGTAAAAAATAGACTTGAAACGATAAATTTACTCATGCCAATGTTATACGCATAAAGATACCTCAACTTCTCTAAAAAAAACTATATTGTCTCTATGTTGCCTTAAGACTTGTTAAAGAATATACTATATTTGTGGAAAATCTAAGTGTACAGTTCTATTTGCAAAGGACCATAGTTAAATAATGGAGAAGTTGAAAGGGTAACACTTCACTTATTACAGGTTTATTCTTCAAGCTTTGTATGTGTGATAGAACATAAAAGTTTTTTGTACTATAGTGTGTAAAGTATATTTAAGTTGTATCGCTTAAAAATTATTTTACGTGCAAAAAAGATGAATAAAAAGGTCAACATTTTGAACATATTTCAAAAATGTTTTCTGCTTACTTGCTTTGTAGCTGTTTTTTTCTATTTTACTCCTAGGTTTTTTTAAAAGAGTTAACTAAAATTTGTAGCGTGGCGACATCACATTAAAATTTATTGAACTATAATCTGAAAATAATGAGCCTTATCAACTAGTTATCAGATAAACTCCTGACTTGACTTTCCGAGTTTATACACTGCCTTTTTTTGAGCTCCGAAAAAAAAATTGTCTCAGATCGACCCGGGGGAAAAAATTTTCTTATAGAATGTGGCCTGTAGAATCCATAATTTCAAACAGTTCCAAGATTGGGCTACTAGTTCAAAAGTTACAGCCCTTTGAATTTTTTCTAGTCTATAACTTTTGATTGAGAAGTCTGATCGAAAAAGTACGAATTGATTTGGATTCTACGCACCCAAATTAATAAGAAATAGTGTTTTCCCGAGAAATTTTGGTGTAGTCGATTTTTGGTAAGAAAAGGAAGGTTATACACTGCCTTTTTTTGAGCCCGAAAAAGAAATTGTCTCAGATCGACCCGGAAAAAAATTTTCTTATAGAATGTCGCCTGTAGAATCCATAATTTCAAACAGTTCCAAGATTGGGCTACTAGTTCAAAAGTTACAGCCCTTTGAATTTTTTTCCGAAATTGGTTTCTAGTCTATAACTTTTGATTGAGAAGTCTGATCGAAAAAGTACGAATTGTTTTGGATTCTACGCACCAAAATTAATAATAAAAAGTGTTTTCCCGAGAAATTTTGGTGCAGTCGATTTTTGGTAAAAAAGGAAGGTTATACACTGCCTTTTTTTTGAGGCCCGAAAAAAAAATTGTCTCAGATCGACCCGGAAAAAAATTTTCTTATAGAATGTGGCCTGTAGAATCCATAATTTCAAACGGTTCCAAGATTGGGCTACTAGTTCAAAAGTTACAGCCCTTTGAATTTTCTTTCGAAATTGGTTTCTAGTCTATAACTTTGATTGAGAAGTCTGATCGAAAAAGTACGAATTGTTTTGGATTCTACGCACCAAAATTAATAAGAAAAAGTGTTTTCCCGAGAAATTTTGATGTAGTCGATTTTTGGTAAAAAAGGAAGGTTATACACTGCCTTTTTTTGAGCCCCGAAAAAAAAATTGTCTCAAATCGACCCGGAAAAAAAATTTTCTTATAGAATGTGGCCTGTAGAATCCATAATTTCAAACAGTTCCAAGATTGGACTACTAGTTCAAAAGTTACAGCCCTTTGAATTTTTTTTCGACATTGGTTTCTAGTCTATAACTTTTGATTGAGACGTCTGATCGTAAGGATCACGATAAAAAAGGAAGGTTATACTTCCATGCCCATGAACTTGGCAGGCCTACTACAGCAGACCGTGGTTCTGCTTACTCATATCGTTAGTGTTCCGTTAGTGCCGCTGAAGAAATCGTTAGTGCACAAAAGGAAACTTACTATTTTTAAACAATATTTGTGGGCCTGCTAACTTCATGCCAGCAGACCCATTTAAGAAAATCGATACAATCTTTACACTAGTTAAACTACCAACGTTGGTGCCGCCAATATAAACGTTAGTGCTCAAAGTGTAACAGCTCAAAACGTTGTAAAAAGGGGTCTGCTAACTTCATGCAGCAGACCCACATTTGTCAAATTGGCCCTGTCCTAATGCGAATTTGAAGCAGCTCGTTAGTGCTCGTTAGTGCTTCACATGCGAACGTTAGTGCTGCAAGGGATCCGCACCAAAAAGGTACCAAACTACCTCAAAATTAAACGTGGCTTATTGGGACCTGCCAACATCACGCCGGTATACCAACAAACGAAATCCGTTTGGTTTTCTACTTTAATCGATCAATCAGTATTAGTGATCGTTAGTGTCACAAAAAAAAGCGTTAGTGCTGAAAGCGCAACAGGTCAAGATGTGAAAATATGAGTTTGCTTTGTGAAAAACTATATAACGATTAAATTAGTGATGTCTTTATTAGCTCTGGTTTCTATTTCTATTTTCATATTTTGCATTTTATAATATGCGGTTCAAAACTTTGGTATGATTTCTTTTTAATATACTAATACTAGTACCTTTAACTCAATAAAATATTTTAAAGAACTAACCACTAACGAGGAGCTTCAGATTTGCATTAAGGCAGGACCACTTTAATAAATGTGGGCTTGCTGCATGAATTTTGCAAACCCATAATTTCACTCTTGAGCTCTTGCGCTTTGAGCACTAACTTTTTTTTTGCGACACTAACGATCACTAATAGTGATAGATCGATTAAAGTAGAAAATCAAACGGATTTCGTTTGTTGGTCTACCGGCGTGAAGTTGGCAGGTCCCGGTCCCAATAAGCCACATTTAATTTTGAGGTGGTTTGGTACCTTTTTGATACGGATCCCTTGCAGCACTAACGTTCGAATGTGAAGCAATAACGAGCCGCTTCAAATTCGCATTAGGACAGAGACAATTTGACAAATGTGGGTTTGCTGCATGAAGTTAGCAGATCCCTTTTACAACGTTTTGAGCTGTTACACTTTGAGCACTAATATTTATATTGGCGGCACTAACGAGCACTAACGCTGCTAGTTTAACTAGTGTAAAGATTGAATCGATTTTCTCAAATGGGTCTGCTGGCATGAAGTTAGCAGGCCCACAAATATTTTTTAAAAATAGTAAGTTTCCTTTTGTGCACTAACGATTTCTTCAGCGGCACTAACGTGCACTAACGGAACACTAACGATATGAGTAAGCAAAACCATGGTCTGCTGTAGTAGGCCTGCCAAGTTCATTGCAATTATCTTTGGTTATAGTATAACATTTAGAAAATGCTCTCTAGCGCCTTTATTTTGAACCCAACGCAAAAAGTGTAGAAGCCTTTTTGGTCACAGTTTCAAAAGTTTGCCTTGCGATAAAGCTCAGAAATTGAAACTTTAAATTAATTACGCCCTTCCCAGAAGGTCAAAAATACTGGACCGATGTCAAAATTTTTAATTGGAATTTAGATGCAATTGGCGAGGTGAAGAAAGCGCACGGTCATGGAGTCGTCAAAACAGCGTTTCTATCCTGGTTTTTGAACACATGGCTTCTAAAATCGATTGTTAATTTTCTGATGAAGCTGAAATCTTAAAATATTAAATCATGCCAAGGGCTGTTGGATGCTACAAAACTAAGTTACATATTGCTACGGGAAACTGATGAATTAAATACGGCACTATCGGCGGCTACGAAAAAAACGTTTTCCCTGTTAAATCCAATTCCTAACACAAAACTAAATACATAGGGAATGCTATGGTCTTCGTAACAAAGCGCTTCCAACTTCAAGGCGGAAATAAAGTAGGTAACTTCGTTACAGTAGTAATTATGCGGGTCACTTGTAGAACAGCAGTGGATAAAATCAAAGGATTTTTCACAAAGTTTCGCTTGTGGTGGACGTTTTTACAAAAAAATTATCATAGTCCTCGATCGTGTGAGATCGTAGGGATTTCAGCGCAGTTTTGTGTGGCAGCTCAATATTCTATACTAGCCAGCTTCCACTCCACGTTCACTAAGATCTTGTCAAGGGCTATCACATTTACTTTGTCGGTACCCACTTCTTATGCTCCCACAATCATACACCATTTTGGTGGATTTCGTTAAAAACGCTCTACAAAATAGGACTCCATTTTTGGAGCACTTCTCATAGCCCAAGTTTCTGTTGGCGAGACGAGAAAGGAAGACCGCGGTTTGAGCTTTAAGAAATTTTATACCGTGTGACAAAATTCGTGGCGGAAGGTAATATATTTTGGGGGCCTGAAGTCGACTACTCATGAAGTCATGACTAATCTGTCACGTTACGTTACAAAATGAATTTCTAATGAGAAGTATGCCGAAGTAATCTCGAAAATAGTAATAATAATGATAATAATAATGTTATAATAAAACGGCGTCGGGATGTGACGAACCCATCGCCCATCGCCTCTTGGTGATGCAATCAGTCGCACAGGGTAGAATGAGGTGTGCTTGTTGGGAGGTAGAGTCCCATGGTCCCGAGCGAGATTTAATGAGAGTTGATCACGGGACATAAATGTCGCAGATTACAGTGGGGCGCAATAGCTATAATGTGCTTACACGTTACACGCACATAAATTTAATTGTTTGCACTTTGCACAACTTATAATAAAGCCCACAAAAACAATAGGGGAGGGGCAAACGTAAATTAAAAGCGAGAACAGACGCGCTTCACACGTAAAGAGTATTTTCACAATCTAAAGACTAAGTAAAATTTGTTGATAGAATTTGAGTTTCTTGTACAAAAGTACAACAGTGTCCTATCATTAATTTCAAACAAATGGTTTTTTTTTATTAATTACGGTAACAAGAATAAGTACACAAATCCTTCACGCATTACAAGCACATGAAGAGATTATCTTTTTACTTTTCCTCTTTTTCTTTTTGGCCACTAGAAAAGAAAGCAAACAAAAACGATGCAGATATAATTCAAAATTTACTTACGCGTCAAATTAGAGCCAATGTGTATCCTATCTTTAATACTGTCGGTTTCGTTATTCAAATTGACGTCTAAAAGTAAAGCTGCCACCCTCAAAAACAGCTCGTTTACATTAAGACCGCTTTTGGCAGAAACAGCCCAGTATTCCGCCGATAAATCCTGAGCGCTCTTCATTCCGATCTCATTTGTGTTTGTATAAGCAGCGGGAGACTAAAAGTGACTTTCAGTAAGCAATTTTGAGCTAAATGCAGGAGGTTACCAAGAGATCGGCCTTATTTCCAACAAGAAAAAGTAAAACGTCATCGTTTGTGTTTGTATTTAGAGCTTCTTTGAGCCACAACTCGCAGTGGAATAGTGTGGAGATGCAGGAAAAATCGAAGACGACGATGATAGCTGAAATGGTTACAGTACCGTGTGAGGTTTTCCAAAATTTGATTGTTTTACCATGCGCTCCTCTATAGTAAGACTGGGCAATGCATTTGAATTTTTCTTGGCCGGCCGTATCCCATCTACGTCGAGGTTTATTACAGCAAATTGCAATATATTAATTAGTCTTACCTACATCTGCAGTGTGACAGATACACCGAATAGTGATAAGAGTTGGACCTCAAAATCGACACCTATTGTTGCCTTATAGTTATTGTCAAAAAGCTGATGGCAGAACCTTGAAAAAGAATGTTACCAAATACTATTACATAAATCGATTACCTGTTAACAATGCATGTTTTCCCAACGGATACATCTCCCACAATTATAAGTTTAAACACCTTATTAACGTTACAATCGGCACATTTTTCAATTTTTCCTTTCATTAGGTAGTCAAAATCGGTTTGCTTGTACGGAGTGCACTCCAGGTTGTACGGTTTTGGAAAACGCGTAACATCGGCGCTTTCGTGCATTCTACCGCGAGTACCTTGGCACAACAAAGAGTAATAGAAAATTAGTTCAAAGTAAATCAAACGTGATTCATGCACAGGAAGTTTACGTTTGTAAGGGTTTCCGCGCACCCGTAAAATTGTTAGGTGCTTAGCGGCTAGGTCGTTCTGCATGCTCGAGTATGGGGGAAATTAAGACTTCTGGTGAATCGAAACAAAACACGCGCTGGTCATTTTTCCTTTTAATGTTAATTGCGTTAAAACGTCAAAGGTACCGTAATTTTTGGGACTCATTTAATTGGTGTTTAACTGATACATGGACGACGGTATTAGTTCATTAATTGTACGCTTCGTAGAATGGTATATATAGTAGATGAACGTGTAATTAAACGAACCGAGTCAAAGGTTAAGGGTAATGCCAAAATTGATTAACAAAACAGGCATGCTCATGACTTTGGATTGGAGTTCGGTTTTCCTTTTTCATGTTTCCGTGGAAATTAACTGTTAGACCAAGACTATAAAAATTGGCCCTTAGCGTAGGCGGCTGAGGGTGACTATTATATGGACAGCAAACCACCAGAAGTCCTAAATTGCATACATATGTACCTAATAAATAAATTGCTGTCCATTATTTCACTGCACCTTTACAAAACGGCATTCGGAGATTAATAAATATACTCTAATACGTTGCAGTTCAAAGCGTTTTTGTGTGTACAATTTGTTCACCTATTATTAAATCTTGAGGATTAACAGCTTATGTGAACTACCTATCTAATTTAAATTTAAAACAAAAGAAAACATATTTTCTAACCTTGGTAAAAAACAAAGCGGATCAACATTAACAATTACAATTTTATCAAATACCTAATCGGCATTGGCTCAACTATACCTACAGCATATCTAATCTGAAATTATTTCCTGGTTATAGGTACTTTGGTTGATGTTACCTAATTAATAAATTTTACCCAAACAGTTTCACAATGTTTCGACTATCAACAGCAAATAAACTTGGTATTTATACACTAACTGTATAGCAAAACGTTCTGTTTGTTCATGCTGGCTGCGGCTGGTCTTTTGCTATTATTGCCAAAATGGTTAATCAAATCTAATTTAAAGAATATAGGTTTTAGTCAGAGCTGAGCAGTATTCGATTTTGTAAATACTTTTCAGTATTCAAATCCTTTAAAGTATTCAAATACTTTGTAATTAAATACTTCTATGGAAGCAGTATTTGTATTTGTAACTCAAATACTTTCACAAATATTTATAGTATTCGAATACTTCGCAAAGTATTTGGATACTTCTTTCTTAAAGTTTTCGAATACTTCGCAAGGTATTTGAATACTTTGAGAAGTATTCGAATACTTCGCATAGTATTTGAATACTTAACCTTCCTTTTTTATCAAAAATCGACTACACCAAAATTTTCAAACCAAAATTTCTCGGGAAAACACTTTTTCTTATTAATTTTGGTGCGTAGAATCCAAAACAATTCGTACTTCTTCCATCAGACTTCTCAATCAAAAGTTATAGACTAGAAACCAATTTCGAAAGAAAATTCAAAGGTCTGTAACTTTTGAACTAGTAGCCCAATCTTGGAACTGTTTGAAATTATGGATCCTACAGGCCACATTCTATAAGAAATTATTTTTCCGGGTCGATCTGAGACAATTTTTTTTGCGGGCCTCAAAAAAAGGCAGTGTATAACCTTCCTTTTTTACCAAAAATTGACTACACCAAAATTTCTCGGGAAAACACTTTTTCTTATTAATTTTGGTGCGTAGAATTCAAAACAATTCGTACTTTTTCGATCAGACTTCTCAATCAAAAGTTATAGACTAGAAACCAATTTCGAAAGAAAATTCAAAGGGCTGTAACTTTTGAACTAGTAGCCCAATCTTGGAACTGTTTGAAATTATGGATTCTACAGGCCACATTCTATAAGAAAATTTTTTTTCCGGGTCGATCTGAGACAATTTTTTTTGCGGGCCTCAAAAAAAGGCAGTGTATAACCTTCCTTTTTTACCAAAAATCGACTACACCAAAATATCTTGGGAAAACACTTTTTCTTATTAATTTTGGTGCGTAGAATCCAAAACAATTCGTACTTTTTCGATCAGACCTCTCAATCAAAAATTATGGACAAAAAAGAAATTTCGAAAAAAAATTCAAAGGGCTGTAACTTTTGATCTAATAGCCCAATCTTCAAAATTTTTTAAAGTATGGACTCTCGATCGATCTCGATCTCAGACAATTTTTTTTCTGTCCTCAAAAAAAGGCAGTACTTTTAAGTTATTCAAATATTTGAGAACAATTTAGAAATGTTTAGGGAAAGTTTCCATTGTCACAAAATCAAATATAAAAATCCGATACATCTGAATACCGAACTCGATAGTCTACGTAACTTAAAAACAATAAGGACCTTTCTTATATCTTTAAAACTATGTGTACTAATTTTCAAAGCGATCGCACGTTTCTAAACAAGTTATCATGGACAAACGGATGGTCAAAAATGGATCTGTTCCAAAATCGCTAGGATTAATTTCAGAAAGGCGTACGTATCATGACGCTTTGAAAACTGGTACACGTATTCTTAAGGATATAACTGGTATAAGAAAGGTCCTGGTAGGTACCTCCTATATAATAATAATAATACGCTTTTACTCCCCTTAAATTTGTATATAACAATAGAAATATAAAAAAAGCTAACCCCATACAAAATATAACTTGATTTTTTAAGTAGTATTAAGTCTTTTATCTAGTATACTATTTTAAATTTTTAATGTATTTGAGTGACAAGTATTTGAATACTTTTTACTGTATTCGAATACTTTTCAAAGTAAGATACCTAATGAAATACTTTTCAAAGTATTCGAATACTTTTGAAAGTATTCGAATACATTCTAAAGTATTTGAATACTTATTTTTTTAAGTATTTGAATACTTTTCAATGTATCTGTATCTAGTATTCGCTTGTGCTGAACGTAAAAGTATTTAGTATTCAAATACCTTTGATTTGTGTAAAGTATTTACTATTTAGTATTCAAATACTTTTTGAAAGTATTCTGCCCAGCTCTGGTTTTAGTTTATATAGTCTATAACAATTATAAATTTGTTTCACTGCAAGCAGCGAAGTGCATCAGCAGGGTTCCAATTTTTTAATTGTTCAATGAGATTAAGGGGTCTTCTATAACGCGTAACGATGTAGTTACACAAGGATTATCGTTTGGCAACGACTTGTTCTAATCTGTACCCTAAAATGGATCGTTTCGTAACTAAAATATGGCTGTAAATTTGTGGTGATCGTACCTACGACAAGCCCTTGCCACTCCGTTGAGTCGTTATAAGAATAACTAACATTTTCATTGAAACATTACACCCTGACTGAGATAGGGTCGCGGTTAGTCTTCACGGGCACCCGGGAATATTTGATCACCGGGCCCCTATAAGTACAAATTTTTTACCTTAAACTAATGAAATAATAAAAATGAAAATTAATTTTTACTTCTTGGATTCAAAATGAGAACATCTGAATAATTTTTATATACAGCCACAGCAATTTTACAATTTTCTTAATTTATTGTGCGTGCATTATTAATTCTTATAATTCAAATAACCAGGTTACAATGTAACACTGCAGATTTTTTATTAGCAACAGTTGATATCATTTGATCATAATTTAGCAACTTGAGGTTCAAGAGCATATGTGCCGAAACTGATTAAAGGATTTTCATTTTTGGTGTGGTTTCTTTGGTCTAATGCTGCTGTGCATTTTTTTAAATTCTCTTTCATATTGAAATTGAATATGCGTTAGTCCTTGTCGAGCACCCGAGCCTGTAAATAAACAACTTATTTACGGGGTCTTTTAAAACCCTTCTAGCCCTTTTTCAAAGCATTCTACGGTTTTCTTTGACCCTTCGTAAGCGTGTGCCGTCGTTTTTGATGAGTTTTATATGTGCTTTAAAGAACTGTGTAAGTGGAGCTATTAGAGAGCATTTTATCGCCGCTTTAAATGCTTTATAGATCACTGAGGGTTTTATAGAGCATTTCAAGCTCTTTGCAAAGATTTACAGTCTTTATGACCTTTCGAGAATTTTTTAGGTTTGCCTAGCATCGGGAAAGTAATAGGACATACCGAGAATGCACCCAAGACTGGGACGGATAGCGACATCGGTCTGATGGTACCACTCCCAAGGGAACCGATTCTTGATGTTTTGGTCAAAATGTTAAATTTAGTCATTCGGCGCACAAGATTGAAGAGGTTGTATAATATACAAATGATATAGATAGAGTCAGTGTATAAATAAAACCATAATTGTTTTTAAACATTGAACACTTATTTATATATCTATTATTATACATCGATACTACTGTATTATATACTAAATTTAGAAGGGGCTTTTCATATTGTTATATTTTCACACTCTTTCTCGAGTTACATATAAGAACAGACAGTGCCCCTTTACAATTTCTGATTTGTAGCCCAGTCGTTGAGTGAAGGAAATACCCTTTGGATGTGTACAACCTCCGCCACTGTGACCTCCGCCAATGGTCTTGTCAATTGTCATGTGAGTGATACATTAACCTCAAATGTCAATATTTTTACAGTCTATTTATAAATCTATTTCGCACTTAAAATGGTTTTCAAACGTTTAATTAATACAGGCAACATCTACTTTATGAGAAATTATTGCACTCCCAAAAGGTTGCTCAATTTTGAGTGTAATTTTCAAGTTTTACTTTACCTTCTTTTAGCGGCCAGCGAGTTCCTCCGCCAACACCAGAAATTATAGAAACTTTCAGCAGAAATGGCGATAACGGCACATCTAAAACGCTCACAGGCGAAGTTTTACCAAAGGATCACAATATTTTTCACGCAATCGGCTCAACGGAGGAATTACTATCATATGTCGGGTAGTATGTGATTGTGCCCGAAAACATTTAATTTTTATTTGTATCTGCTATAGAATTGCAAGGGAACACGCTCAAGAATGCGAACACGAATATTGTGACAAATTGAAACGAATTCAAACTGTGATTATAGACATAAGTACTGCGATTTCTAGATGCGGCGATAAAAACAAAAAACCGATATCGTCCACCTACACTAAAGAACTCGAGGAATGGATTCATCACTATTCAAAGCAGTTACCACCACCAGAGCGTTACATTATTCCGGTATTACGACACAGATGGTTGTTGTCAATTTAAATGTTATTTTAGGGAGGTGGTATCGCAGCTGCCTCCTTACATGTGGCCAGAGCTATTTGCCGCAAAACCGAACGTACCATTGTTCCACTGGTACGAAATGGTGGTTTAGAACAAGAAGCTCTAATATATTTAAATCGTCTCTCTGACTTCTTATTTACTATATCAAGAATAGCTGCCAAAGTAGATAAACGAACTGAAAGCATTTATATTCCTAAACCGGATGAAAAAATTCAAGCACAGTAATATTTTCTTTTTTAAGCCATTCCCTACCCAAACTGTGTGCTAGATCCCTTAGCTGTCTTAGTTTTTTTTTTGTTTTGATCTTACATTTCTATCATTTTTAGGGTCTTGTACGCTAGAGGAATCTGAAGCCTCTGCAGACTTCCACTTGTTTCATTTATCCTAGTGAAAATATTTTCCAAAGTTGGTCATTATAAAAGCTATCATGGTACCTACAGAGCGTCGGTTGATAATATTTGCATGTTTGTAATTCAAGTTATCAAGTCCGACTAATTATACTATTATTAAGTAACATTTTGTTTTATTTCCGTTTGAAATTTCAACAGTCCTGCAGATGTGTAGTTAAATTAGCTGATGCTAATTTGTTGAATAATTATGTGTTATAAAAAACGGTACTATTAACAAGTGGCTACTTATTTATTTTTACCATTTCGTATAGAAAGAGGTCCATGTTATATTGCTTTTTTATTAAAACTGTGCTGTGCTACCAATGTCCAAATAAGTATTTTCATTTACTATAAGCATGTGCAAGTGGCAGTGAGCTTGAAATGGGTACAAAGCTCCGAAAGACTCTGCTCTAAAATTAACAAATCTATAGAGGTATTTAAAACGGTACTGTAAAGTTTAAAGAAAGGTCTCAAACTCGTGAAAATGACGCCTAGAATCTTTGGGAAAGTTCCAGAGCGTACCGCAAAAGATTGAAGGTTCTAAATTCTTAAAAACGCTGGAGGTTCACATTGCCTTTAGAGGGTATTCTAGTTTTTAAAATGACTAGGGAGAGGGGAGAGAGAACTATGTTTTGGATCCCTTTTAATGCGTTCTAAATTTTCCAAAGCGCAAAGCTCCTTCAAAAACCCCCAATTGGGAGTTGTTATAAAAGCGTAAGGGTGAGTTTCCTAAAAAATTACGTAATTTTCAAATGGGTATTCGTATTGGTGGTACATTATCACAATCTACTTATGAAACAATATAGGTATCATAAAAGTTACAACCCTCACAAGTACGGTTTGCAATTGCAAGTTAAGTGGAAGAGCAGCACATTTTGAGTGCTGAACTTCGCCTCTGAAATTTTCCAATCCATTTTTTGGAGAGTTTGACGGCTAATGTCACATCCTCTTTTAACTCACATGTCTAAATTCCTCCATACACACTAATACTTTTTAGAAATTTCGATTTCTCGCTTTATCCCAGGTAGTAAAATTCTGATTATAATTAGGTACCTATAATATTATGTGTTACACGCTCATTAGTGAATGTTGGACAGTCTATTACTATGTGGGCCATCGCGAGAGCAGTCCTACATTGATTGCACTGTTTCGGTAGATTATTTTAGTGTGCCCTATTCTCACACTGGCAGTGTAAAATTCCCTTCGCGACTGGTTTTATTTGTGAAAGGTGAGTCTCTGATGCTGCCTACTTTTCTTGCCATGCTGTGTGGTATTCGTTTTTCAGGTATATCGCGAGATCACATGGAACAGCAAGACTTACTTCCACCTTCTCCACGAGTGACACCTGATCCACCTGTTGCCTTGGACACCCACATGGCTTGGAACCCACATAAACGTAAGTACTTTCCCTTGCATGAGGATACCGTTCAAAGCAGAGTGACATTAATATTCATAGGGTAATGTAAATAAATTTCCGTAAGACCATTCAAGATATGAGCACAATCGGTGGCGATTATGAACCTTCCATCTTCCATGGAACAATACAGGATCGCTTGCCATAATGCATATTGTTCAGCGAAATGGATGGACGATATGGTAGTTCATCTCACATATATTCTGCACCTGCGGTAACTATGGTACCTACTATCAGCCCCATTTACATTTTTTGATTCTTCTGCATTCAGGGTGAGTTTTTTCCAATAAAAAATAAGAAAGTTGGTGGCATTTACTCGAAACTCACAAGTAATAAAAATTTTGTTTTAGCACTATCAGAAAGCTGAGAGAAAATTACTAGGTGTTTGTTAAAACTATTTTTTGAGATCTTTGAAAATAAATGAATACCAAAGCTCATTTTTTGAAAATGATATTTTTCGGTTTTTTTACCATAACTTCGTTGTTTGTAGAGCTACAAGAAACTCTGAAAGAGAAACTTAATCTACATAAAATTCTGTAATTCTTTGCCCATTTAAGCGACTTTGTATCTCTTACGGTTTATGAGATCCTCATACTAAACATTGGAAAAAACTCCCTGTATATAATGGATATTGCCTAAAGATCTTCTTAAATTCTTGCAGGGAAGTGTCGCATTTTGTAATTTCTTTTTTGTGCGTCATAAGATCTTTTATTATGTTTATTTTCGCTGTGTAATTTCCCCTATCCTCTCTTCCAACAAATTCGGAAGGATTATTCCTGTTTGATCCAAGTATTCTTTGTACCTAATATAAGCGGGTCGAGTAATTGTATGTGCTGACCTGCGTATGATTTTACGTCTACATTAAATAGCTCTTTATTAGGGTGTAAGGGTAGCGATAAAACTTTCGTAAAGTTGTTTCCGTCTTATGTCTAGTGGCAGTACTCCATATTCACAGTATGAGCTGAATACCATACTTGTAGGAAAGGCTCCAAGGCAATAGCTACCTTATGGCGGCATTTGCATATTTTATTAAACGTCACAAGTAGCGATTTGCGCGCCAATGAATTTTTTTTTCTAATGTTATTTGAACCTATATAATAAAATAAAAAAACACTTTCTCATTGCTACTTTTTGAGCTCTGCAAGACACCGTTGAAACTTTTATTATTGCGCATACGATACACGACAGATAACAAAAAACGAAAGTTGGACACTGTTGACTTCAACATGATGGTGCACCCGCGCACAGTGCCTTAATCGTGCGAGAATACGCATATTGAATATCGATTTGCAGGAGTAACAGCGACTTCTTCGTACCACTGAAAAGTTTTAATAACTTGTAAGTAACATTAATAGTCATTGCGTAGTTACTAGAAAGTTTAACTACTTGCAGTAAGCGTTGTTTTACCGCTACTTAAAAATATATAAATTAATGTATGCAATAAAAGTTGTTGATTTGGTCGGTTCTACGTGAAAATCACTTAGTAGAAGTAACCATCTCACTCATCACGGTTTTTGGGACTATCGACGCTGCTTGTGTAGTTCTCTATAAAATTACGTACCGACCTATTTAATTGATAAAGGGGACGGGAATTTATTTTTGGGATGCATTTCTTTCATTATGCACCCGAATACGGCAATTTCCTTATTTTGTTTCCCTTTCCTACTTTGTTTTGGTTCCCAATGTTGGTTTTGAGATATGATATTCCAGATCAAAAACGCACGAGCAAGTGACACATTTGTACAAACAAAAACGGAACTACTCGTATACGCTCATTACAGGAGGGAGGAAAAAGTATTGATCTGAATGAAAGAAACGGTTGCCGACCAAATGGAATTTATGTGGTTGGCTTGTTGAATGTTTCGAAACTGTAGGTACATTTGAGTAGGTATGTATAAAAATGCGACACTTTATCTGTTAATATTTTTCACCACAAAAACGGCCTCTACGTTTATTAATTACTTACCCTCTCAGAGTTATATAGAAATGTCACAAAATGAATAAAGATCATACCTCTTCCGGAGAACTTCCTCACACCTTCAGGAGGTATCTGCAGTCCTAACAAAATAAAAAATTCTGTTCCTTTAATGCATTTTTTAAAAGTATACAGTACGTATACAGACCTAATACAATCTTTTGTCGTGGGTAAAAAATACCTTTAACCTTTGGAACAAATTTTCTATTTTCCAGGAAATTGTAGGCGGGTGCACCATCCTGTTGAAATCAACAGTTTCCAACTTTGTTTTTTTTATGCCCTACATCGTTTGTATTCGTAATAAAAAAAAGGTACTCAATTTCAGAATTTTATTTTTACGGGCCATGTAAAAAATAAAGTTGATGATGATTTCTCCGAAACGAAACGTTGCATTGAATATTTCTGAACGGCTTCTTGTAAAGCTCAAAAAGTGGCAATGAGAAAGTGTTTTTTTTTATTTGTTCTCTCCCTTCGTGTGCTTTATGCATGAAAATGAAAAGGTCTTAAGGTTTTGAGTAAATAGGAAAAGCTGATAGCATTTCCTTTTTGCAATGCGGCAGTTCTCTGTTTTAACATTGGAAATATGTTTATGGTTCTACAGGTATATCGTATATTATGTCATTATGGGTACACTTAGGCAGTTACGAGTTTTTCATTCAAGCAGAAAGAACAACTGCGCGGCGTCGCATCAAGTGACGATTGTACCGTACTCGACCGTGATGCGGTATACTTGCTCAATTGTTTCGATAATTCCAATCTAAAATTCTCGCAGGTCTCCTATGATGGTATTACGAGCATGTTACGACGCTTATTATTAACGAGCTCCTAGCGAGTTTATAATTTTGCGGTGTCTGTCCGTCCGTCCGTCCGTCCGTTAGCACGATAACTCATAAACGAATGGACCGATTACGATGAAATTTTTCAGGTGGATTCTTTATCAAATTTGTAGATCGGAGTTCGTGAATTGGCAATGTAGCCCAAAAAATAAGGAAGGCCCTTTTGACATCTCCGTAAGTTATGAACCGAATTGCATGATATTCAATATGCGCATAGCTTAATTAGCCATATAAAACACAATTCCAAAAGTTGAGCCTAATCGATCAGCATTCAGTGCCCTTTGCGTATCTCGACCATTTACAGAACGAATTGCAAACTTTCTTATTTATGAAGGTATTGAAATGAAATTTGATACATAGCCACTTGGAATAAAAGCAAATTTAACACCAGTTTCTAAATTTGGTTTTGCGCATGCGCAGTGCAAACCTTCTTATTTATGGAGGCAATCAAATGAAATTTCATACATAGCCACATTAAATAAAAGCAAAACTAACATCAGGTTTAAAATTTGGTTTTGCACATGCTATAGCTATACCCAGGAGCTCGTTTGCTATATTTGTTTAATTTATTCAGAAGGGAGACGTGACGTGATGAGACGAAAAGTGATCCGATCGAATATGTGTTTTACATAATTATGGCGTTATACGGTTATCATTTCCATGTCTCCGATGGTTGCATGCATTGTGAAATCTGTGAATTTTTAACTTGTCAACGATTATATCACGACCCAGAGATAAATACGATTGGAAAACTTTATTTACTTACCAAGTAAGATACTTGAGCGTACAGTACAGATATGATCTATATCTAGACCAAACACGGAGCTGTTTATATGTAGGACAAAGAGTATTATAAGTATTCTTTGGTATTAGGTACCTATATAAACAAATTAAAATAAAGATTGACTTGCGTGCGAAAAGATGTAATTCATTTTCCATCAGACAAACAAAATTTGACAAATTATCTCACACTAAAACTAAATTACAAAGAAAAATTACAATTACAAAGAATTACAAAGAACGATTACTCAATTTGCTTAGAAATGGACAGTTAGCTCCCCAATAAACGCCACAAGAGATACTGCCACACCGAAGATGTACAGCAAAAAAATGCCACCCAGGTGCTCAATAGATAACTTTTTCACTTCGTCTGGACTAATAAATCGACTCTTTTTCCTTTCTGCGTCAAACTGCCTGTCGCTATCTTGCTTATTGTACAATCCAATTTCGGTCATCCACACAATAATTTCGTTCAAACTGTCAATAACGTAAGTAGACTGTAGAGCTCCCAGTACTTTCATAGCGGGGCCCGACGTTCTGTTGTCAATAAAGTAATACGGTGTGCGTATTTGTAGAATCAATTCCAACGCGTTTAAAGTATCAAGTAACATTGGCAAACAAAAATTTGCATTGGTTTTCCACAGTTCCATTAGTTTTATGGAATCGTGTTCATCTCCACAACTTAGTCTTTTTGACAACAATTCATAGACTTCCTGCATATCTGGAGTGTTGTGCATAGTTAAGAGCATATCTGACAAATAATCTATACAAATAGGTACATCAGTTTCTAGCAGTTCTTTCAAGCTCTGAATGGGTTTCCTCATTGGGGGTGATGTCAATAAACGTGTCAAGTTTGAGACATACGCTGTTTGTATATGTACGCTGTATATAATATAACACATAATTAAAAACCTTAACTTTGAAGAGTTTGGAATTCGATTGGTGCTAGAAAACAACGTGATGCTTAGAGTCTGTACAATAATTTCACCCAAACGAGTCTTTGAGTTATTGAGAACAAACCAAGCCGAGATAAACAATACAAGCACCACAAAAACCGCTAACCAAACTACTTTCTTGAAAGGAATCACCAAAATCTCCATAGCCCAAATCGGTTCTGTTGGTGGAACGATCCACACAAGTGTCTCCCTTGAGTACACATGACTGACATAAAACATGTCATAATTGGTCTTTTGCAATACTAAGTCAGTGATTGTGATATGGTCATAGTCATTATTGGGCACATTCGCTACAAACTGAATAGTTTTCAAAGAGAGATTAAGAATGTCAGTCATGAAGGAGGCAGTATAACTCATTCGACTAAATTCATTGAACTCATTTGGTAAAACAGTATGGATTTTTGCAGGGCATTTATTGTAATTCCTTATGGGTTTAAGAATACTGTCCGTGTTTGCATTGTCACAACTTTGTTTGTATATTAGATCTGGTCTTTTCCCACAATTATTCTGCGTGTCTTGTGGGTTCGCAGTGAACAATGATTGTGTATTTTGGCTCCTATCAATCACCAATACTGCAAAATAAATCATTTCCCATTCCCAAAGTAGACTAAAAATTGTTTTCACTAGTGTTGCTTGGTCAGTTATCACCAGTACTCTTCCGTTAAGGTAGTGATATTTAATTAAAGAGATCCTTTCCAGGGTACCTCGAACGTATCGTTTAAAGGAATTTACACTTTCAAGTGCGATTACATAATTGTGTGAGAATCCCCACTTACTAGGGATTGTTAAGTTTATAGAACGATCGATATTAATAATAGCCTTAGGATTGTTTACGTGAAACGGCAAAAGGTCATTACCTTTCTTGTTGCAGATGTAGTAAAGGTTTCCGTTCTTAAACATCTTCTCGATTACTTTTTCCGTACATAAATGCCATGATGTCTCATTATTTTTCATTAGAAAATTATTTATGGGACTTAATGAAAGAGACGCAATTACCATACAGAGCAATGTAGTTTTTTTCATCGCCCAATGTTGAGTTAGCTACCTACAATATATAATTTCAAGTTATCACCAAACGTTACACTACTGAAACTCTTCCTTTCGTTATATGTAGGTAGACTCAAATACGGTAACTGCCTTGTTTTAGTTTCACTTTCCTATTTCGTATTGATCTCCAATATTGAATATGGGGGTAAGTGTATTCGTTTAATTCCACAGTAACCACGCATGAGCAAGTTCTTTGTGCAAAAAAGCGAAACTATGCGCTCATTTCAGGGGGGGGGGGGATGTATTGACCTGCCCTAACGAAAGTTTTATTTTCTATCGCATTTGTTAATAATTTTTCGCAGCAAAACGATCTCATTGTTTTTTAATTATAAGTACCTACATCTTCAGACTGGTGTAAAAATGTCATATTTAAAAGCAACAAGTATTTACTAGTAGGTACTCCATTTTCGAGGTTCTATCTAGGTTGCCATCATTAGGCCGAAATTCGTGCAATTAGTGCATATGTTATGTTCTTTAGTGTCACGATATTTGACTTCTGGTCCTTTTCAGCACTTATTGTGGGATGTAACGTAGGTACTCATAACTCGATTAACGATTCTTGAGGGTGTAAAACACTTTGGTAGCAGTTCGAGTATTACTAACAAACCAGGTGGGTAAGAAAGTAAATAATAACAAATTAAAATCGTGCGTTTAATAATACTTGTATGCATGTACAAACAAAATTCTCCTAATGCTAAAAGTAAGAATCATTGAACCTTTGAATATAAAATGTAGGTCAAAAATTGAACAATTTTTCAGTTTGCGTTAGCGATGAACAACTAGCTGGCAAATAAATGCCACCATCAGAGATATTACCATACCAAAAATGCAGGTAGAATGCTTTGTAGTTTTTGCTTCGTCTGGACGAATAAATCCCGTCTTTTTCCACCATGCGCTGTCTTTATCCCTTGCTTATTCTACAATCCATTTTCTGTCATCCAGCATACAATAATTTCCTTGAAACTGTCTGTAGTTTCATGGCATGAGCAGGACGCGAGGTTCTGTTATATCTAATATAGTATACTGAATGTGTATCTGTAAAATCAGTTCTAGATTAACATGTCCACAGTTCCACTCCACTACCTGATAAGTACTTATACTTAATACTTCATACCATTTCAAAGGTTTCCTTTATTTGAAACAATGCTGTTTGCATGTGTATACTGTATATAATGTAACACATAATACTTAAGTATTTCAAAACTGAAGAGTTTGGAATTGATTCGTCCTAGCATACGTGACACTTACAGTAATATCTACGACCCTTTAAAGCAGTTGAGGGCATACCATAAGCTTATGTAAATAATACAAGCACCACAATGACAGCTAACCAAACTAGCTTCCTGGATTCCAGGAATGACCTAATCCTAGGACTTGTGTGTCCACGGATTGAGCGCACGTAAGGTGTATATATGACAATTTTTTAGAGTTGGGTCTTGTTCCGAGGATCGCTCCTGCTAAGATATTAAAAAAATGTAACCTAAATGTATTAAAAAAAAGTTCTTTAAAATTAATGTTATGGAAGACTTTCAATTTTCATACAAATCAGCCTACTTTGATTTTTTTCATCAATAACACAATGAGACAATTTAAAATCTGCAGTAGGTAAGTCGTGTAAAAAACAATCACATATCAGCTTGGCAGATATGGTAGACTTTCAGTTTTTATACAAATCAGCCGGCTTTGATTTTTGTTACAAACGAGTTCGAAGATCAATTGTATGCAAATTAAAGTCTTCTTTTAATTCCGAACAACTTTTGTTTAATGGATTGTTATCTGCTAAAATAAAGACAGTTTACTCTTGACCAACTTTTAAAATTCGGCAAATTTGGCTCATTTTTTCAATGTTTTAGTTTGAGATCAAGCAGTGGGAGCGATCCTCAGAACATAAATAAAATGTGCACTCAATCCGTGGACACACTGTACATATATATAATGGTATAAAAGATGGTTACTACCTCATTAAAAAATAAAGTGAATGTTTTCAGTTGGTATATTTACATGTCAGTTATTTTTCATTTGAAAATTGTGTAGGAAACGTAGAAGAGATGCAAGAAGAAAAACAAAATATGATGCTTTACTTCATTGTCCAATGTTGATTCATCTACCTGCAATATAAAACTTAAGTAATTAAATTCTTTACAGCATGTACTTACATGTTACTCCAAGATGCTGAACTATAATCAAAGCCTGTTTCTTTCGTTATGCACACATACGCGTTATTTCCTAATAAATTTTGTTTCCTTTTTCTACATTCGTATTGATATTTGTTTCTTGTACCGACTTATATGTACCTACCTTTATACCCAAATGCGTACCGGTTTATATTGTATATACAACCCTTCGATCGAACCAGTCCGTTACGCTTGAACAAAAAAAACGGTCGCTACCTGCTACCTTTTGAATACATAGGTACGGTCATTGTTTAATAAAGTAGTTAAACAATGGTACGGTTTTGGTCAAAAATAATGTCCTTCGATTATCTGGAACGTGTAGCACATAATTAATATACCAAATCCCCCGTGAGTTTTGAGCTTCTTTTCAAAATAAGGAAACTCCCTAACATTGAAATGATATTGAACTAAATCTATAGTTATGTGATTTGAAGTAGGTATCTTAGGGAGGACATTTCATCTGACCACAACTGTAAGCTACTAATTTTAACTAAGAATGTTTTATCCTTAAGCTATACTGCCCCACTTCCGTAACTTCATTTTCGAGTTGATGAGGTAGATATATCTTAAAGCAAAAAGAAGCGGGTATATGTATACAGGGTGGACCTCCGCCGTTGTTGGTTGTTGTTTGTATGCATTTTCTTGACATACCTTCACAAAATGAAATCAAATGGATTATATCGGGAGGCCTCGCTGGCCAACGTATTGGTCCATCCTTTCCTATCCACCTTTAGGTACATGACGGGCACGGTAAGGATGTGCAGGTGCCCCATCTTGTTGATAATACATAATTTGTTGACTATTTTCATCAGAATAATAATAGAAATTATGCCGGTTAACAAAACCATTTCAGTGAAATGTACACGCATCAATAAACATAGTTTTATAAAAAAAAATTCCATCCTGATTTAGGTTTTGCTCTATCCAATTACAAAAATCAATTCTATTTTGAAAATCTAATTCTTTAAGCTCTTAATGTTGCTGAAGATGATAAGGATGAAATCTGTTTTTTTTTATTATTCTTCTGATAGTCTGAAATTTTTTTCCAAATGTATTATGTATTAGACACATGCGGATTTTCTATAATTGCTGTTAAAATATTGAATTCATTTTCTTCGTTTAAGACAGACTTCAGTCTCTCTGCTTTTGAGGATAGTAAACATTCCTTGTTTCTGTAAATCTTTCCAAAACCACTTTAAAAGATTCTTCCCTCGTTAAGTATTTGTTTATTTATTACGGCCTATTAGCTATTTATGTCTGAAAAATTAAAAAAAAACAAATTAGTCCAAGAATGCGAGATTAAAAGAAAACTACCGAAGATAGGTATGATGATTGAAATTTTCTAAATTGGCAAATCGATTTCTCAAAACGTAAAAAGAAACCTATCCTGCTCGCCCGGCCTACATTGGTTACATTATATGGTATATAGGTAATTAAGTAATTACCCAAAGTCACAGCTTACTAAGGTGACAATGACTGCGATATTCAATTTTTTCAGACAGGCGTTGTTTTAAAAAATATCGATTTCCGGGCTTTCGTTTTAGAGTGTGACAGTTAAAGTCACACTAAAGTTACTCGAGGAATCCAAATTTGCAATAATATACAGGGGTTCCTTTAAAAAAAATTAATTTTGATATGAATGACCCTGTATATGGATTCCGATCAAAGTGAAAATATTTTAGATTTGCAGTCTTAAGGGTTCCCACCTCACCACTCTGTACCAATACCTTAAATATCTACCTATTTGTTTCTCCAAATCCTCACACATACCGCAATTTATGTCATGTTAAATTGATTGCGTCATATTGGATCGATCATGTTATCTGTGATAGGTAGGTACACAAAAACTCGTATCATAAATCATTGTACCAATGTGTAGCTACCCTGCTATTATTAATAATAAGAAACATTTGACAAGACCGTTTGTAAGTAAATACAAGGGTATATGGACACACGACACGAAATTAACGTTGGCATAGAGTAAACAACTACTCTACGACGTTCTATAGCCATATGCTCATGTTCACATCCACCCTAGATATTGATTTGTCGATCTACACTGACCTATATGCGTACTAGCTACCTACGAATACTCTGCGACTTTCAGTTCCTGCTACTTTGAGCGAAAAAAAAGGAACATAAACAATGTAGAACCATCGAGTATGTATTCGCTCGAAAAAAAGTTCCAAATATAACATGTATACCAGATACGACTGGGGGACAATGAGCAATATTCATACCATACCATGTCAAGTAATGAACAATATTTTGTTTTACAATAAGCAATGCTGATATGATGGGACAGAATCAAGCCCTTAAGATGGATGGATAGATATAGATCATTCAAAATTTCATTTAAATATCTAATAAACTACAACAAAAATTAGATTGCGCAAATGCAAGTTGGGTTGCGCATGCGCAATTTTTTTATATTCATCTGCATAGTTGCTTATTGAGATTTAAAACACAGAAAACTAGATATTCATGTTCTTTGTAACAAGAATGATAAAAGAAACCCTTATGGAGTGTTGGGCAGTAACTTTTTAGCCCGTTGGTCTACGTAGCTGAAAAACAACAGCGACCTTTCTTACATCCTTAAGAACATGTTTACTAATTTTTAAAGCATTTCAGACATTTTAAACAACATCATCGTGCACACAGACAGACAATACAAAATTATAGGTAGACAATCTCGGGGATTGATAATAATTGAAATTTACAGTTAGTTTGGATAATAATTTGGTGGTCGTTTTTTTTTCTTAGGTCCCACCGAGAAGAATGCCCGAGTCCTCCACCAAATTGAAAGCCCACATTTTTCACATACCCAAAAGCAATACTGACAAGACCTCTTCATTAAAACTTTTTAACAAAAATAAATGTTCTGCTTAACACCTATATAAAAAAGATAACATGAAAATTAAATACTTTTATTAGCAACAATAATACATGTCTTATGATGCGTAAAATACACAAACAAGATTTGAGAAGTAACAATGGGCTATATATAGAAAAAATTAATGACCAATAAAATCAGTTTGGACAGTTGGAGCTACTCCCCATTTCTCTATTTGATAACACGTCCAGCAAGCAGCCTTCCTTTTTTGCAATTTCTTCAATCTCCTTAAAATGATCAGGTTCCACAAGCACCACATATGTGTGCGAATAATCGGTTTTAACTTCATTCTCCACTCTTAACGACTTTACTTTACCAAAGCTCTCTGTAAACTTCTCGCCGTCTTTATTCACAAATGATATGCTTAGCTTAATTTGAGCACGCTCGATCGGCATGAACCCTTTTAACAACTTGATTACAGCCAACGCCTGCTGTTTAATATTGTGATGCGGCTTAACGGAGTAGTGAGAGTCTCTCATTGCAGCTTCAATGATCGCCGGCGGATAAGGACAATCGGCCGTCGGATTAACGCACATTGTCGATACTTCGTAAGCTATTTGTTTAAATTGCGATTCGAACATGCTTTCTCGCTCTTTATCGGACACTTGTAGTTCGCCTTTCGTTAGAATTTCCTTGCATATTTCCGTTTCGTCTTTATCGCCGAATGCTTTCACCACGTCTTCTTTTTTAGCAAACTGGCCTTTGGATACATTGGCGAAGATGGTATGCGTTTGTAATACCTCGTCTATATCGGTTTCGCTGCATGGGGGTGGAAGTTATAGGGGTGAAATCTAAGGGAGGAATACTTACAGATTATTGCGCCATGCCATTACTTTGTTACGATAGCAGGCGATTTCAAACCTCTTGCCTGTCTTTTTTAATCGCACTACGGCTACGTTTGTTAGCCGAAGTTGATTTGTTGGAGTAAATATCTTTGGCATTGTGCGATTTTTCTAAAGTTGCCCGAAAGAGAGTGAAAAAAGAGGTTAGGTAATACTGAAACTGTCATTTTGGACAAGTGACCTACCGTAAGTCGTAAGCTTATATACAGTGTGACCAAGAAGTTGATGATGATTATTCAAAGACGAAACGTCGCAATGAAAATTTGTGAACACCATCTTGTAGAGCTCAAAAAGTGCATATGAGGAAGTGTTATTAGTTCTTCGATATGTGTGTGACAGAAAAAGTAAAAACGAATATGGTTAATTCGTGGACTACAACGATAGTCCGAAATTCTAGGTTTTAGAGTGTTTTCGGTAATGTTTAAAAGGTTCTGCAAAGCTATATGCTATTGCTCATCAAAGGTATCACTCACAGGATCTGCATTTGGAGAGTCATTTTTTTAAAATAGGAATTCTATAATGAATGCGTATTTCCAACAGTGAAAAAAAATAGTGAACCCCCAAAACTATGGAAACAACATTTTTATTTATCAAAAAAATGGTTGCTATGATACAAGATACAATATGTAACAAGACTTAATTAGGTTGACGTTGACCTTTCTCTGAGAGTGTGAGTTGCGTATGATAGTATTATAGACATTGTATTAGAATTATCAATTTAATTATTTAATCAGAAACAACTTTCTCTCGCTTTGCAAACAAAGAATATTGTTCTGTTGAGTGGAGGCCATGACACAGTAGTTCATATGTATTCCCACCAAAATCAGACCTACTTTAGTAAGCATTAATTTTTATGATCAAAAGTCGCATATCAGCTGAAACCGAAAAATTTAATTACTTTTAATTTTATTATTTAACTTTTGCGATGGACGTGAAAGATGCAGCAGCGGACGGTGAGGAAAGTAAAGTTAAAAGTGAGGACCGACCTAAGGTTAGTGTTCTTTACCGAAATCACAACCACACATAATTAACACTTTACAGAAAAAGGCTAAGAGAAGGAGCTCACCTGGACACACGTCAGAGGAGCCGAAACTGAAGAGATCCAAGTCGGATGCAAACAAACCATCCAGCTCGAAACACGAAATTATACATTACAACCCGTCATGGGAAGATTACGAGCTTTTAGTCGGTACACAGTCCATAAATGAGAATGTTGCAAAAAGATTGACTAAATTATTTGACGATGAAAATACCATACCTTTCATTGCGCGTTACCGAAAAGACCAGACCGGTAACTTAACAGCGGAACAATTACGTGATATCAAGGACGAATATGACAACATAAAGCTACTAAAAATGAAAATCCGTACAACGCTTAATAACATTAACAAACAAGGCCAGTTAGATTCGAAGCTGAGAAAAATTATCTTGGGAGTGCAAAGTGTGGAAGAACTCGAGCTTATTGTGAGTTTATTAGTACTTTTAATAAACCTAACCGCACTGTTTCAGTATGCCCCGTTTCGTCCCGGTGCTAAGAGGACTTTAGCAGAACGAGCGAAATCTTTGGGGTTAGAACCACCGGCATTGAGTTTATTAGAAGGCGCCGAATCAGTTAATTTGGAACGTTACATCAATAAACACAATAGGGAACTGTCATCTATCGGCGATGTTGAAAGGGGTGTAATGCATATTATTGCCTCTGTGATTGCCACCGATACCGAAGTTTTGGCATTACTTCGCAAATTGTAAGTACGCCTTTCTTAGGGGATGTCGGCTGATAAATTATTTGTTTGTAGGCGAATCGAGTCTTTTTTCACAATTGAGTGTAAAAAGGCGAACAACACAAGAAGAGACGACAGGATACGAAATTACAAAACCACAAGACAAATTGTCGAAGAGTCGAAGTTCGCTAATTATTTCACTTTTAGCGCATCATCAAAGTTTATAAAGCCGCATCAAGTAAGTCCATTGCGAGGGGGCAACAACTCGCATAACCTGTTCTCGATAATTAAAATAAAATGTGAGGTTCCTTCCTAATTATCTCCTTGAAAAATTCATCAAATTAAAAAAAATCAAAAATCTGGCATTGCACACTGTGATCCATTTTATCAAATCTCTTACTGTTGACCAGATATCCATGCTTGAAACATTCCTTTAATACACTATTCAAAATATGCTTTAAAAACAGCATTTACCTTTGCATTCCCAGCTACCCCACTGTTATAATTATAATATGCAACCCGTGACACATCACTTTAAAGACAGAATATGGCCTATACCCAGAATAGAAACAGCAGTGCTGTAAAAATGTGCTAAAAAATATTATCGCCTCTAATAGAACAAAGTTTACAACATTTCGGAGATTATTCAAGTATAAATGCGGGTGTATTAAGCAGATATAAATTATATACCTACAATTAAGGCAAAATACACAAGTAATACTAGGTATAGATACAATAGGAAGTCATTGTGTACGATGAACTCGTTATTCATGTAAGGAGCCAGTAGATGGGTCGTGCCAAACTGCTCTTTTGAACAATCCTGGGATGCCTTAGTAGGTAAAATTGTAAAGGTGGTTTATTTGATAGTCTAAAATAGACCGTCATTTATCTTATATTTTCATTATCTTGTTTTTTTTTCCTTTTTGTTTATTTGTGTTTTATGAAACTTTAATTGCCGCAGTTGCAGTTTCAGTGTACACAATTGGCGCTAATTAAAAACAAATAACAATCGGGATCGCCAAAACCTAAATAATTAAATTTTTGTTTTATGGGGAACGACATATGGACACACTGTGTACAGGGTGGCCCAAATTCGTGGCACAGGGTCGCGAAAACCCCCAGTCTGTATTTTTAAAAACAGCGGAGATACACTGCAGTCTCAAACAAAATAGGACACACTGTACAACCGTCGCGAAACCAGCAGCCCTGTTTTCTTTTCCTGTCTTTAAGGAAACACCACTTCCACCAGAAAAAAAAATAAAAATGTTTTTATGAGCTATTCTTGAAGCAGAGCAATTATTAATAAGATTAATGTTTGCAATGCATGTATCTTTCTTTTTGAAGATTTGTTGCCCCCCTCTGTCATTCAATGAGATGAAGGATACATCGCAATTTTAGGTTTTAGCTATCAATAGAGGTGAAGCACATAGAATTTTAAGTGTTAAGATAAATGTACCAGATTTTATATACAACAAATTCTCACAATTCGCTACAACCAAATGGATCGATAAAGGTAAAAGTGACAAGGATCGCAAGAGAATCTTGGAAATGGCGGTGAGCGATGCGTACAAACGTTTGCGTAAGTACCTACAAACAACGACTTAAATCGTTTAATACGACACGCTCTTCTTTCACCAGTACAACCTCACGTTGTAAGAGAAGTACGTGCGAGCTTAAAAGTAAAGGCGGAAAAAGCATCATGCGAAGTATTTAGTACAAATTTAAAACAATTACTTTTAATGCCTCCTGTTAAAGGAAAGTATATATTGGGCATGGATCCTGGCTTCTCAAATGGCTGTCAATTGGCGATGATTTCGGAAACCGGCGCCCTTTTAACCACCGGCAACATCTTTCTCAATACAAAGACGCCGGAAAAGCCGATTATCATCTTGGCGCAGATGTTAAGAACTTATAAGTACTGTAGATTGTAATCGATACCGTTTTGTAAGACTGTTTTTGCAGTTGCACTTTAATTGCGTTGGGCAATGGTACAGCGTGTAGGGAGACCGAGACGTGGCTGTCTGAGCTAATACAAAATAACACATTCTCGCCTTTGGACGTCGTTTACACAATTGTAAATGAAGATGGAGCCTCGATCTATTCATGCAGTTCAGAGGCAAGAAAGGAGTTTCCTGATCTTGATCCAAAATATATCAGCGCAGGTAATATGAAATTATACTTGGTTTAATTGACAGTCCACATTCTGAAATAGTTTCCCTGGCAAGACGAGTATTGGATCCTTTGGCCGAGTTGGTAAAAGTGGAGCCTAAACATTTGGGTGTCGGTATGTATCAGCATGATTTACCAAAGAGGCAATTGGAAGAGGCATTGGACGAAGTTGTCACGGAGTGTGTAAGTTTTGTTGGTGTCGATCTTAATACAGCTTCGCGATGTTTGTTGAGGTAAGAGAAATGCGAATGTGAAACACATACTTGACCATCACTTTTAGGCACATTGCTGGATTGTCAGATAAGAGAGCATCTCGCATCATTCAGTATCGCGAAGATCATGGTCTGTATAAATCACGAATGGAACTCAAAAAGGTGAAAGGGATTGGTAGCAAGATTTTTGAGCAATGTGCTGGTTTTCTTCGTGTCGAACCTGCAAATTCCACGGTTGCAGCGGAGTTTTATGAAGACAGTGAGACAAACAGATTGGATTGCACTTACATTCACCCTGAATCGTATGGTGTGGCGACGGAAATTCTGAAACATTTCAACTTGGATATTGCTTCTATCGGACAAAGGCATTTCTTTGATTATATTAAGTTGAAGTTTGAGACCTTAGATATGGATCAATTCAGTGCGTCTTTATCCCAATCAGTCGAGACCGTTCGTATGATTATGGATTCCTTGATTCAGCCTTTAAATTACGATTTACGAGATGAAAGTGTCAGTGGACCCGTATTTAAGAAGGGACTTACTAACTTTCAGGATCTAAAGATTAATTCCATTGTTTCCGGTAATGTGTCCAACGTTACACATTTCGGCTGTTTCGTCGACATCGGCGTGGGCACTCCTGCTTTAATACATTCAACTAAAACGTGTGGTTTTACGTTACAAATAGGGGACAAGGTTGAGGCCAAAGTTATTAGTTTGGATGAAGGTAACAGAAGAATTGGTTTATTAATGATTCGCAAAATTTAAATACAGAATTAAATTATAGTGTGATGTAATAAATTTTTACACCTTTGATTGTCTTTTTTAACCCGTTGTTACCCCAAAAGAGACAATTAAATTTTTTTAAGTGGGTAGAATATTTCTTAGTTTTAGCAATACATTAAGTAGCAGTTCATACAGCTCTGGTCTGGTGTGTATTCGAAAAATGCCCAGTGCACATCAATAACTAAACACGGTTCGTAAAACTAGGTACCCACTTGCTCCCCCCAAATACCATGTTTTAAAACGGCAAAGATGTGTAACCTTATATCTTGCGAACTTATTTATTTATTTTACTCACTGAACTAAAATTAACCTGGAACGCACGATCCGAGAGAGAGAGGGCCACAAGGGGGATCTCTGGCCTACTCTCGCGCATGCCTATTTGATATGTTTTGAATTTATATGTGAATGATCAGTTTCCCAATGAGTGACAGTGACAGAAATCCCCTTGCACTATCTCTCTCGGCGCGCAACGTTTCTATGGCAGTATGCGTTCCAGTTTAATTATAGTTCAGTGATTTTACTGATTAAGGCGGCTCTGCAGTGAATTAAGATTTCGATTTTGCGCCGAGATAGAAAAATTTGTAGGCAACTAACAATACAAATTATTGATGTTTCTAATGTGGATTCTAAAACGCTCTAGGCTATATGTGCTATTCATTCACAAACAAAGCAATTAGTACCTAAGAGAATGAATTGAAATACTTACCTCTTTTCTTTCTTTTGTAATTTGTTGAGCTGGATTTATTTTGAAACGACTATATTAGTCATAGACAAATACCATTACCGTTATCTAGAAGTATTCAGGCTTTCATTAATCATTTAAATCTGAAAATTTACTTGCCAACATCGTTTTTTATGATCCGTCGAAAGAAAATATTATTATGATTCTACTATTATGGTTCTACCGGATGGCTATAGCAACTTTCTTATTTTAAATAGAACACCCTGTGTTTTATTACATTTTCGGAATCTACATGAAAATCTACGTCGTTTGATACCACATTTCCCTATACCCAGCATCAAAGGTTTTCAAGTAATTCAAGATTTTTCAAAATTCAAAAATTGACAGTACTGACTTGATTCTACGTGACAATGATTTAAATTTTGATCGCCCTTTTACAGGGTGTTTTAAAACTGATGGTCAACTTTATTAATACATGCATGATACATGCTTTATTTTTTTGCACTTTCAAATGTGGAAAAAAATTCTACAGCAATCTACTATTTCGTTCCGTTTACCTATCTGTTATATGCTTTCCGTTTTATTTTAGATTTTCTAAAATTGTGACCCTTATGCATAATTTTTTTAGAAAGCGTTGAAATAACGTTAGAAGACTAAACTTGTCAGACCTTTTTATAGTTATAGTTGATAGTGATGGTAGAATGAACAAAAAGTTAAATAAAGAAGACATAATAAACAGAAACAGGTAATAATAACAAACGACAATATAAAAAAAAGCAACATCAATTGAGGGTTTGTTCTACGTGACCACCGTTTTTTTCAATACATAATAGGATCTTCCGATTAATTCCGTTGGGAATCGTCTCTCTAATGTCTACTACATCCATTTCATCAAAAGCTCTTCTCTGCCTAACTTCCAGTTCTTCACGAAAAGCAACTGGTGTGAAGTAAATGTTGTCTTTATATGACCCCACACAAAAAACCCCAATGGCGTTATATCTGATAAGTTCTAGGAGGCCAACGCCACGGACCTCTGGCTTCTATCTTCAAAAATGTTAGTGAAAGATATATAAGGATCATGGATAGAATGAGCCCGCGCTTCGTCATGTTGAAACCAGTTGTTTTCTTCATGTAAATTCTCAAATGCTGGGAAAATAACATCTACTAACGCATTTATTTCAAGGCCTCCTAAGAAAATTATGCATAACGGTCACAATTTTAGAAAATCTAATAAAACGGAAAGCATAACAGAATTATATGTATAGGGAATGTAATACTAGATCAATGTAGAATTTTTTTGACATTTGAAAGTGCAAAAAAATACCTAAAGCATGATTCGTTTGAAAAAATCAACTTTTTAAGGTTTGAAGTTAAATAAAGTTGACCACTAGTTTTAAAACACCCTGTAGAAGGGCGAACAAAATTTAAATCATTGTTACGCAGGATCAAGTGAGTACTGCCGATTTTGGAATACTTTTTGAAATTGAAGCCAACGGAGTCATATATACAGGACTGAAAATAAGGAACAGCCATACATAAAAAATGTTCAAAATCTTGAATAACTTGAAAACCTTTGATGCTGCATATAGGGAAATTGGTATCAAATTTTCATGTAGATTTCGAAAATACAGGGTGGTCTATTTAAAATAAGAAGTTGCTATCGACATGCGATAGAACCAGAAGTGAAACGATCATTCTTTCGACAGGTCAAGAATAACTATGTTGGTATGTTGTCAGATTTAATTGATCAATGAAAGCCTGAATACTTTTAGGTATCGGTTTGCGTGACACGGCCTGTAATACTTGATGTAAGTACGGAAGTAGGTATCCACAAGAATCTTACCATTACAAACTTCTAATCACTGAAACCAGTAAAGGAATACTATTTTCTAATTATAGGAAGGTGTTAATGACGCCGAACAAAGCCCAAGGAGGTGAATTCCATTGCAGATAACAATGAATAGCCTAATCTCTAAATCTATTGTTAGAAAAATGAATAGGATTAATTCGTAATTTTCAGGTAATGACAATTTCAATTTCGCCGGCGGGCGTATGGTGTAATTTAAGTTGCCTAACTGTGCTTTCAATTGGTGAAATACTTCATGATGTCATCAAAACATTTTCCCCAATTTTTGTTCTTAATTTAAGGGATGAAAAAGATATATCTATGTACAATCATACAATTTTGTTAGCTGGTTCTAAATCGCCAAAACCCATGTCTGTATGTTTTATAGAGGCGTCGTTATCTTAAAGACAAGCTTTATCAATTGTACTAGTTATTTCCAAAATTATGGTAAACTTCAAAATTTGGTTTACGCACAATCCTTCTGTTGGTTAATACCTACAATATATTTGACGTCGGCCCTTTTTTTAAATGCGGTTATAAAATCAAAATCTTAAAGAAATGATTCGCTGTTTTGCGGATAGTTCAACATTCACTGCAGAGCCGCCTTTATGTATGGTGGTGGATTAGTAGATATACATTCCCTCTCAACCGCAGGAGATGCAGTAAATTGGGTATTCTTGAAATCAAGCGCATGACAATTGTTATTCTATGAGCATTACAATCCAGACCCTTGGAAGGTCCATTTGCACCTCCGTTGATCCGCCCATGGGTAGCAATAAATAAATCCCTACACCCCAACTTTGAATGCTCTCATTGTCTTAGCCCGGAAAAACGAGTAGTTACCCCATCCCTTATTCGTTCTCACGTAAAATACAGAGAGAACCTCCTTGAAAAGTGTTGCCTCCAATCAGGCATTTCTCTAAAGTCTAAGGCGACTAAATAGCCTAGGTCCTATTTTTCATGTCTTTAAAAAGACCATATGCGTCAAAGTTTAAAGCCAATTATTATCACCAACTGTTAAAGACCACCACAAACGGTCTTGTAACAAGGGATTCTTTTTTATTGCACGCAATGAGGTGTTAAAGTGTAGGTAGGTACCTTTTTTATATCTTTAGGCCTTCTATGTCAAAATTATGTGGCTGTTACATGTGATGTATAGATAGTAAAAATAAAACAGAAAGACAACTTACAAGGAAAATTAATTACATATTAACGATAATAATTTAAATATAAATAAACAAAAAAGATACATAGGGGAAAACGTTTGAATGGAGCGGAAACTTTTCGCGCGTTTTATTGTGTATGTTTTAGGGAATTTTTGCGGGGGTTGGCAAGATGAAGTTGAAGTTCCCGCTATTTTTATTTTGGTTAAGTTGTTTTTGTTGGGAACTTAGACGATCGTTCAAAGAGCATTTCCTGAAAAGCCTTTGAAACGAGAAAAAGAAGAGTGTAATTAGTGAAAAGTGGGTAGTTCTGCATAATTGGATGGTACAATGGATAAGGATAACGTAAACAAAATCCGTTTGGCGGTGTCTAGCCTGCAGGAACCATCGTTGGGAGACTCGGAAAAATTGAAGAAGTTTAACGTTATAAGGGAGTGTTTATATTCTTGCAAACTGCAAGGGAGTGTCGATGATAAAATACTGACACGGCAAGTCTTTACTTTGTGTAATTCCGAGCTGGATACCTCCAATTCTGAGCTGCTAGTAAGCGTCTTTACCCTATTGGAGCTGCTCTTTAATTGTAATTCTGAGAACTATGTCGGCAAAGTTGTCCCACATTCGTACCTGGCAGTAGCTTTTGAGTCCAATCACAAATATTCCGGCACAGTAAAAGAGTGCGCGTTAAGTTGCATTCAGACGTGTCTTCATAGGTTAGTAGTCACGAATTGCTACGACTTGACACAATTAGATAGCAGCGTAAACGACATGGAAGTCGGTAGTAAGGTGAGTAACACACTAATTGTCCTTTGATATTCAGTTTTGACTGTTTGTAGATGTTCGATCTTCTGCTATGTGTAATGACTGATGTACCAGCCAACAATTGTTTGCAGTTTTTCTACGATACTCTCATGTCTACCATGTTTGAGACTGAGAACGTGCAACTACGCTCTAAGTTAATAGATTTCGCAATGGAACTATTGCCTCGTTTTTCTATTCAGTTGCTCACTAGTTGTCAGCTGGAAGAGTTTAAGAACAAAGTGAAAAATTGGTACGTCACAATCGATAGGTGATTTTTAGCTTGCCTACGTGATTATTTTTCAGTTACATTAAAAGGATAGGCGTTATAAGAAACCAAAACGATCCCAGTTGGTCCAAACTTGTTAAGTTTCTTTTGAAGTGTTTTGGAAAAGTGATACATTCCTGTGTGGATCTGATGAATAATATACTTAAAATTGTTGAGGGTGCATTTCGCAGTCATAATTTAGATGATCGATATTATGCCTATGAGTGCTGGAAGGTAGGTTTAACCATGGTAGAAAGTCGTATTATTTATACTGTGGCATTAGCTCAGTTAGTTAAAGGTCTGTGCTAACTTTTGGCATGCTTTGTTAATTCACATCAAATACTTTCTTTGAAAAAGTCCCAAGGTAAGTCCAATAGTAGGTACTTACACAAGCTCTAGAAGTACTTACTCATTTTTTTTCTAAAATTGTATGGCCAATTCTGTGTCAACGTTTTCATCCACATTCTGCATAGCAGAACTATAGGTATACATGAATATCACATGCACATTGTCTGTGGAATTTTGTATATCCATAACAATAATGTGGAAAAGTATGTCAAAAATGTGCACTGTATGTGCCAGGGATATACGTTTGGCAGATTTCACATACCTATGTGTTTTAGATGTGTTATGTATATTCTCGTGTATTTTCATGTATATGTATCAGACATGCGTCATGACAAGTGGATATACCATGATAATAAAATTCCTATAATATGCAAAGATATTCAATAGGATATTCCATCGACTTTGTATACATTTAGAATGGATGTCCATAGAGATTCCTCTAATATTCGGGAAGCTTCCTAGCATTAATCTATACATAAATAAATTATTTTACTGTGTGAAGTTTATTAAGTCTCTGTATCTTAGTACAGGGTGGGGCACGGGAACTTCCCACATTAAAAAAAACTGCTGTTGGGATATGGGCGGTTGTAGAGGAGTGGGGTAGGTCTCGTTCGGAGCGGTGAGTGATGTAGTTTTCAGTCGTTACCATGCCGTGGTCAGGTGAGCAGCGTGCGTTCATTATCGAGACTTTTTTCAAAAATGGTGAATCTGTAACTGCTACTTTGAGGGCATTCCGTACAAGGTACAGTTTGTCGTCGTCTGCTAGTGTTCCCGACCGGAAAACAATTTTGTCTTGGGTGCAAAAGTTTAGAGCAACAGGATCTGCGCTAAATTCAAAGAAGAAAGGCCCAGCTGTCACCGTTAGAACCCCTGAAAACATTGCTCGAGTGAGGGCGTCGATCGAACAGAGTCCTACGCGTTCTGCGAGAAAACATGCTTCTGCTCTTCAGATTTCGGCGAGAACAGTGAGGCGGATTTTGCATACTGACCTCAATTTGCACCCCTACAAGATCATGGTTGCCCAGGAATTGTCCCCAACAGACTGGGGGCGACGTGTGGAATGTTGTGAGGCGATCCTTCAACAAGTGCCTCCCACTGCGGTTTTGTGGACTAGCGATGAAGCTCATTTTCATCTGTCAGGGTGTGTGAATAAGCAAAACTGCCGTTATTGGGCAGCTGAGAACCCTCGAGAGCTTCACCAAAGACCCCTTCACAGCCCCAAGGTCACAGTTTGGTGTGCACTGTCGTCTGTAGGCATCATTGGGCCTTATTTTTTTGAGGAGGGTGGTGTCACGATTACTGTGAACTCTGATCGGTACTGTGACATGCTTGAGAATTTTTTGAGGCCAAAAATCGAAGAATTCGGTGAGGAACATGAACGTGAGAGCTTCTGGTTCCAACAAGATGGTGCTACAGCACACACAGCCCGTCGTTCACGCGCTATTCTCCAGGAGATGTTCCCCGGGCAGGTGGTCTCCTTGCATGAGCCCATTCAGTGGCCCCGCGCTCCCCCGATTTAAGCCCTTGTGATTTTTATCTATGGGGTTACCTCAAGGCCGAGGTTTTCAAACATCGTCCAAGGACCCTGGAAGACCTCAAAACCGCAATCGAGGGAGAAATCGCCCAGATAACCTCCACCACACTTGAGAAAGTCATGCGAAACTTCCACGAAAGGCTCAATATCTGTATTGCCCGGCAAGGCCATCATTTAGACGATATTATTTTTAAAACGTAGTTTGAAAAAACTACATGAGGTAATCTTTTTGATAAATAAATTCTTGTTTCATTATCTCGATTAGTTTTTTTTTAACAACCTTTTGAAATGTGGGAGTTTCCCGTGCCCCACCCTGTATATAAGGAAACAATAGGTATTTGTTTTCACAAAGTCTTTACATTTATTGGCAATGAAACACGACTGACGGCTAACAAAGTAAGCATGCTATTTACTATTAACAACAAGTATGTAATAACAATATTTAATAAATCCACAGATAAAGTTAAAAAAACAAATAAAAATCGCAAAGTTAGTAATTTGGTAAATTTTTAATGAAACGCCGTGTATATTTTTGAAAAATTGAATACACATTTTCTTTTTGATTGCAAAAAAATATAATAAGTTGAAATTCGCTTTAGTCAAACGGCATCTCTTCAAAGGATTGAAAATGTGCACAGTGTGATTATACAAGGAACTTTACCAGACGCATCTTTACTATTCATATTCTATTAATTGCACCATTATTTAAATAAAGTATTTAAACAATGATTGCACTTATCGCCACGGACCCAGTTGGCTCCTCTTACAGGTTCTAAATTAGTCATCGGCGCATAGCCCGCTGTATCCTTCTGACATGCTGGTACCAGTATAAGTAAAGTTACTTAGCTATACTTACCTAGGCATATGTTAACTCACAATACTTTCAAATGCTTAAAATGTGCACAGTGTGAATTTCTTTATTGTCTATAACTTTTTATTGAGAGGTCTGATCGAAAAGTACGAATTGTTTTGGATTCTACGCACCAAAATTAATAAGAAAAACTGTTTTCCCGAGAAATTTTGGTGCAGTCGATTTTTGGTAAAAAAGGAAGGTTATACACTGCCTTTTTTTGAGGCCCGAAGAAAAAATTGTCTCAGATCGACCCGGAAAAAAATTTTCTTATAGAATGTGGCCTGTAGAATCCATAATTTCAAACAGTTCCAAGATTGGACTACTAGTTCAAAAGTTACAGCCCTTTGAATTTTCTTTCGAAATTGGTTTCTAGTCTATAACTTTTGATTGAGAAGTCTGATCGAAAAAATACGAATTGTTTTGGATTCTACGCACCAAAATTAATAAGAAAAAGTGTTTTCCCGAGAAATTTTGGTGCAGTCGATTTTTGGTAAAAAAGGAAGGTTATACACTGCCCTTTTTTGAGCCCCGAAAAAAAAATTGTCTCAGATCGACCCAGAAAAAAATTTTCTTATAGAATGTGGCCTGTAGAATCCATAATTTCACACAGTTCCAAGATTGGACTACTAGTTCAAAAGTTACAGCCCTTTGAATTTTTTTTCGAAATTGGTTTCTAGTCTATAACTTTTGATTGAGAAGTCTGATCGAAAAAGTACGAATTGTTTTGGATTCTACGCACCAAAATTAATAAGAAAAAGTGTTTTCCCGAGAAATTTTGGTGCAGTCGATTTTTGCTAAAAAAGGAAGGTTATACACTGCCTTTTTTTGAAGCCCGAAGAAAAAATTGTCTCAGATCGACCCGGAAAAAAAATGTTCTTATAGAATGTGGCCTGTAGAATCCATAATTTCAAACAGTTCCAAGATTGGACTACTAGTTCAAATTTGAATACTTTAAAGGAGTTGAATACTAAAAAGTATTTACAAAATCGAATACTGCCCAGCTCTGTTAGTTATACAGTTATTACTTCCCATTACTTCTGAGCATATGCCAGAAACATTTAACAGTTCCAAAAAGTTGATATGTTGTTTTCTATTGGAACCTTACCAACGCCCTCCAGTTTTTCCGCATTACAGCATGCATCAGTATAGATGGTAGTTTTGTAGGAATCTACAAGTGCAAATTTGGATAATTTTTAATAGAACACCCTGTATATTTTACAAAAATGGAATACATCTTTACAAAAATATATGAAATGTAGACATTTGCTTCTATTTGCATTTATAGTAGGTATATTATCAAATTGGTTTACCAAATGGCAGTTGCGATAAAAAAATAAATGAGCATCATTATTTATTCTTAATTAATATATAATTTTTACCCTGAAAATAACCTACACCACCTTTACTTTTTAATATTTTTTTTTTCAATAAACAAAATGTAAGCAAAATTTACAAATGTTGAATCTTGCTTCTAATACATTTTCTGTAGTCTTTATAATATTATACACTGTGTCCAAGATAAAGATGTCTACCTTGGGGATCTCCGAAACCATAGAAGATACAACGATTAGAGAAAGATTGCGTAATTAAACAGAAAACCAGAAAATTCCGATTACTTCCGAAGATATACCAGAAAAACCGAAATCTGCCGATTCCGTTTTTATTTTTTTCTGGTGTTATTTGAACAGATACAATTAAATAAAAATAATTTACCGTTAAGAAATTTGCAATATGTTCTTTTCTGAGAAATCATCATCAAGTTTTATATAGCCCCGTATAAAAAGTACAGACTGTATTGAGTAAGTAACAGACAGGCGGACAGTGTTCACAATAGCAGCTTTTCCCTTTCTGAAAATGCCCGAAAATCAGACCTAGCTGTTAGTTTTAATGTAATTGTTGGCTGGTCCATTGGTATTAAACAAATTCTTTTAGGAATTAATCGACAACTACAGCCTGGACATGGATCGTCTACGCGCTCCCAAGCAGATGAACTTGCTAATTACCCCTTTGAAGTCAAATGTGTCCACTTCAAATCCTCGAATATCGCATAAACGCCTCGAAATTTGGGCGCATCTACTTGGCACATTACAACAAGGTGCGCTTCCGTATTTAAAAACGTTCTTTTCTGCTTGTTACTCTGAGGACAAAAAGTCGTGCAGCGAAAAATCACAGCAAGAGCCAAAATTTCATGAAGACGCAACGCTTGTGCTTTTAGAAGTTATTGGTGAGTCCCAACGAAATGCTGGTCTCAAATCTGTCTCACTGTTCCAATTAGGTCACTATGGTCACACTGAGGAAAGCGGATGCTATAATTATGAGAAGATTCTTAAGCTAAACGAGCCATTGGTTAAAGCCGAAAACTTTAAGGAATTTGAAAGTTGGATATTATCTGCTCTGCGCCAGTGCTCTCCCGTGAACTCACAATGGATGCCTACTTCTGACCTATTTCAGGTAATTTTTAGAACACCCACAGTTTCCTATGTAAAACTAAATTTTCAGGTCCAAAAATGTATGTGGGGCTCTTTCTTTAATTTACTTCGGGGTTGCGAGGCAGCACAACAAAAGCAAACCATACAGATTATAGTTGCAGATTTGATATTCCACATTAAGGTACTTTCCCTAGTGCTTTTTTTTTGTTTCACAATTTTTTCATTAGCTTATCCATGCGACCAACAAGTATTTACTTTACGCCATAAAACCAATCTTGGAAGTACTAGCCGAGGGAAAATTTTTTGATGTTAACATTTTTAACGATTTAATCTTCTTGCCACTATTCAAGTTGCTCTTGAAGTACAGTGAAGAACTATTTTTACTGTAAGTGCGAAAGTGTTGCCGTAATTTATTATTAATGTCTACTGTTTACAGTGATCGACCGCTTATCACTGATCTGTGTAATTATAGTAAAGATGGTAAGGCGCAAGATGTGTGGTTTATGGAAGTGTACAAAATACTAACGAAAGGCGATGCTACCAGTGTATTTCTCAATTCTTTAATATTATGGTTGGAATGCGTAGACAACGTACTTTCTTTGTGCCATAACGGTGGGGAGAAAAATAGCAAGATGCTACAAAATAAAATTGTAGAGTTTATGATGTGGCCTATTGCAGATCTTCAAGAGATTCGTTATTATAGTCATCAACCTAACATTTATAATGTAAGTATACTGGTAATTAAATCGTTACATTGTTCTTTGTGAGCTGAATTATTTCAGTATTTATTTTATACTTTGCCAGTGTTGTTGAGTTGACAGGGTTTCAGCTGAGGCGCGAGGTTGCTTTTCCAACCTCACCTACTATCTATCAAAGCTCTCATCTCCGAATCGGAGACCCTTTTGAGCATAGCCGGCCTCTATTTCTCTAGACAAAGTCATATAGCCTGCAAATCCATGCTGAGTTCTAGACGATAGGAAAGGTTTAGTTTGGCGCACCTAGTGGTTAGGCCAACCTTCCCAGACTCTGAGAAAAATTGTGAAGTTTTGTCTTCCGTAGTCATCATTATCTCAGGGGAACAGGTTTCATTTAGACCTTTTGTCTGAGTAGGTTTCGTTCACATGTGTTCTTCATGTTTTTGAGTATCTTTTCAATTTTTTTAAATATTTGCTGTTATGTTTAATTTGGAAAACAGTGACGAAGCAACTCCGATAATAACATTTACATTAATACAATAGGAACATTTAAATAAATATAAATTTAACACTCTTATCTAGGTTGTAATTTGGGCTTGACTAAACCATAGAGTAAATAATATAAAGAGGTTCCATGCTGTATAAATTTGTGACAGTGAGAGACTATCCCTGAACATAGATGGCGAAAAGCAAATGCCGACGCTCCCTCTGAATTCAAGAATAGTGTACTAAATTATTACTAACACTGCTTGTTAATGTTGTTATGTCAGCTCGCTGTGCGTTAATAAGTGGAGAAAGGAGTGGGCGACACGCAACCATGAAATGTATACTTTTATTTATCAGCAACATTTTGCTACTCACATAACACCATTCTTTCTTTGCTTTTTTATAAATTTTTGTACTTTAGCTATAGATAGCAGTCTGCGCTTTTGCATTTCACTCTTAGTTATAGTTATCTCTCTCTCTCTCTCTCATTACCGGGTCTGTAATAACAACTGTTCTTGTCACTGTAATTAATATAGATTGTTGAAGGGTTGAGTGGTAGAGCAGATGGGGTTATCTTGGTAGTTCCAGTCTGAACTCCGCCCTATTGAGTTGTTCTTTTTTTTATAAATTAAAATACTGTCTTACTTAAAACAATAAATGTCATTATTATTATTATTATTATTATGAATGTGCTGCTTATTCTGCCATTGACGAAAGATGGTCTTTACCTTGACCTACCACAATTTGTCATTTAATAATAAACTTTTGCATCGTTTGATGATGCCCATTATAGAACATTATCTCAGCTATATTTGCATCGCAAGACGGCATAGCGTTTTAAATGACATCACTGATTTACGTAAAAGTAATTCAATCTTCGTAAAGTAGGAAGTAGTTCAGCGAAGAGAGAATTTTCCTGATTTTTCTGTGCAGAACTGCCGACTGCCCAGTGCCGAATCAGTTCTGATGTAGTATTTTTTGAATGCGTTTCTAGTAACTTTTGATTGAGAAGTCTGATCGAAAAAGTACGAATTGTTTTGGATTGTCCGCCCCAAAATTACTAAGAAAAAGTGTTTTCCCGAGAAATTTTGGTGCAGTCGATTTTTGGAAAAAAGGAATGTTATACACTGCCTTTTTTTTTGCCCCGAAAAAAAATATCATCGTATATAATATACATCTATATATACAATGGTATACAATGGTAGTATGGATGGAATTGATCTTTTCTCTCACAAATACACTATACTTACAGCACTCCCACATTAGTGAATTGCGCAAAAGGACCTTGTTTGCGTAAATTCCAAACAAATTTGCTAAAGCAGTGTTAAAACGGTCTATGTGTACCGCTAATCCAACAAAAACATTAGAAATTATACGCATAATCAGTTATATTTTCTCACTGTACCTATTTAATTTTCATTGCTAGCTAAATTCAAATAAAGTTTGTAAGGTAAATGCACCAATAATGGGTCGCTTAAGGACGTTAACTCATATTTCTCTCGAAGTAGGACAATGACAATGACGGCAAGCCGGATTCTACTCTACTATCAACTTTTGTCTACAATAATCAATGGATGTAACGTTAACATGCACCTTCTAAAGTACCATTAGATAATTCCAAACATTCTCGGGAGCATGTACCAATAATGAACACCCCTTGTATGTGTAGATCTAATAATGGACCCCCCAAAATTGAGCCAACATTGGAATGACTTTATATACTATTTAAACCTGGATTTACACAAGAAATGTTACGAACTCATGAGAATATTAAATTAGTATTTTAATAAATGGTAGATTTTACAAAAAACACAGTCATGGAAAAAGTATTATAATACAAAAAAAATATAAAATATTACATTTCATTGACGGCAACTTTTTTTTTGAAAACATACGTCAATCTTCTATCAACCATTGCAACTTCGGGTTGGCTGACTACACCTAGGACTTGATTAATGGAAATGAAAGAAATGTCATTCTCAACTATAACAAATTTCATCATTTCTGTATCTACTGATTTTAGTCCTTGTACTTTAATCCCTTCAGTACCATGTTCTTGAACTATACACAAATACGTGTATTTTGTAGACTTTCTTTTACCACCCATGAATTCTACCAAAACGTAGTTCCCTGTTTTAACTTCCTTTGTTTGTACGGCAGGTTCTATGTCTTCACTTCCATCAGTTTTCTACTTCCCATGGTGAATCGGATGACTCCTGTAGTGGTGGTTCCAAATCACTAGCCGATTCATCGTGTAATCGTTTTTTCTTTTTTTCTGCTGCAATCCTTTTTTTTTTTTCTTCTGTAGTTCTTTTCTTTTCTTCTCGTTTCATTTTTCTTTCTTCTTTTTCTTCTTCTTTTTTTGCTTTAATTCCTCTTTCTTCTTATAGTAAGTGAGCATACTTGGAGACGTACACACAGCGGGAATTTTTTCCTTCGCTCTCTTTTTTGGGCCAGCTGTTTGAACCGGCCATAAAAACGCCCTTTTAAATGGTGACGGAATCATAGGCAAGTCTGACCTAGATTCTGCTGCTCCCGAGGCTGCCACCGTATTTGACAACTCGCCCGTATCAACATCTGTTGGTGTTTTTGGGGCTGCATATGACGTTCCCGGTTGTTCTGTTACTGGTGTAACATCAAGAATAACATTTTGTGGAGTTGAGGATAAAGATTCTGAAGGAGTGCTAACCGTTGGTTGTTTTGCGTCCACAAATGCCACCTTTTGATCATAAAACATGCTAATAAAGTTAATACTATTTATTGAAGCACCTACCTGCACCTCCAAATCTAATTGGTCTGTAGTTTTTTTCCATATAGCATATAAACCACTATCTTCTACTGACCCTGTCCACTCTCCATGACATGTTTTAAACTTGTTCAATTTTGCTTCACCTATTTCATGTTGAAACATTCTTAAAAAAATTTCCAAGTCTTTATTTTTAGTTGATCTATCAGTTTTGCTCACATCAGGTTCGGTACTTCCCTTTTGAATCCCATGGCATAAGACCACATGCTTTAAATCCATTGCTGATTGTCTTATCTAACAATTCATCTAGAACGGACTTCAGCACAGGAGCGATTTGTTTCCCATCATTGGCCATTCTCCATTCCGATACTTTTTGCTTCCAAGTTGCTTTTAACGTATGGAATACGGCCACGTCCGTTGGTTGTAAAAGGTGAGTTGCATTCGGAAAAAGTGCCACTAGTTCTATTTCATGCTTTAAACAAAAATTAGTCAATGGTAGAGACATATGTGACGTGTGACCATCCATGAAAAAAACCACTGGTCTGGCTATATTGGTCAATGTTAACCACGGTTCGAATATAATCGCCATATATTCGTAAAACGTTTCTTGCGTCATCCAGCCATTTTCTGACCTTCCCATTGCCCATCCAGGTGGTACCGAATGAGCTATGTTGGCGGGAATTCTTGCGTACCTGTAAAGTTTCCACTACTGGCAAATGCAAGTACTTAGAAGAACTGTGGATATGAATCAAAAAAGAATAATAAATACGTACCTATACACAATCATCGGTGGTGCAAGCTGACCTGCAGCATTTGCAGTAATCAAAACCGTCAAATTTTCTTTTTCATCAGCACCAGCGGCTGTATAAACATTCTTAATTCCCTTTTCGGCCAATACTTTTCCAGGTTTTGGATTTAAAAAAAACGCAGTTTCGTCCGTATTAAAAATGCGTGCAGGGTCTTCGAATGCTGCTTGAAGTTGGTTTTCTTTGACATAAGATTCCACTTCGTTGAACCACCTATCAAGATCTTCTTGTTGGACATTTCTTCTTCGTGACGTCAAATTTTGACTAGTTCGGTCACTTATTTGCGGATGACGTTTTCGAAAACACTCATACCATTTTCTTGCTGGTCTTGTCTTCCCTTCTGCAAATGTCACTCCAACCTCACTTGCCAGCTTTTCTACGCTGTAAAGCAAGGTTTCTTTAGATACAGGAAATCCTGCTTTACCCATGGTTTTAATCCAAAACACGATTATTCTTTCGTGTTCCTCACTTAAAACTGTGGATGGTCCTGTTTTGGTAGCTAATATTCCTCCCTTTGATATCCGAAGGAGGGTCGCTCGTGGTATGGAATGGGCAATTGCCGCTGCTCGAATGCTCATTCTCTTGTCTACATCATCCAAGGCTTTTTTCACTTTTTCTTCCGTATACTTTTGGTATTTCTTTCTACCAGATTTTTCCATAATGCTAAAATTGGAGTAAATATTTTGCTAAATAACTCTAACAAACATCGGTGCACCTATAGTGGGACGCATATGTACCAATAATGGGCCGCCCGGCCCATTTTTGGATCGCGTCCAGATATAACATTGTCACATATACAGATCGAATTAGTATTTCATGCCATGCATATTTCAACCTTAAGCACGATTTTGGCGCATGCTCCTATATTGGACCACGTGGCCCAATATAGGCGCCCTGGACATTTTAATGTTCCTAAAATGACCCCCCCCCCTAAAATTAATTGATATTTCGTTTTTTTTAATAGATTTATATAACATGACTTAAAGAAAGCTCTCTAAGTTAGTATAAGGTCTCATTCTGGTGAAAAATAAGCAATACGAAAGTAAAATAAAAATGACGAATTAACTTACCTCCTTAGCATGAACGTTTAGAAAAACTACTGAACACTGAGAACGAGAAGTACAACGACACTACATAAATGCTTTCATTGTTTAAAATACAGCAACACGATCATAACGCGACCCTTTTCAGGTACTTCTGTAATGAATAGGCTTACTCATTGTTTATATAACACTTCCCCTCAATGTCGGGAATTCTTGTTTTTAAGGCATTATTTTCAGTGACTCATTTTTGGTGCGTGGTCCATTTTAGGTGCTTTTACCTTAATTGGGTAAGGTAAGGCGTTAAAATAAATAAATAAATAAATAGGTCTATAGCCTGAAAGAATTAAAAGACTCCTTGCATCGGAAGCATAATATCAGATTCCGGTGATTAAATATAATGCTGACAGTATCATGGTCTGTGTCTGGTGCAAAGTAATGACATAATTCAAATCTCAACTTTGTTGTCAGTATATTTAAATAGGTAATACAGGTTACATGCTGCTATATGGTAATACAGCGATACAACAGCTTTGAAGAACAGTCACAAGATAGCAACACTTCCTTACAAGATTTTCTACTGCAACAATATCCTATCCCTCTTTATATTATTTACTCTATGACTAAACCCAAAACTATTCATTTTCAGATTAAACAAATTTATTCAACATCAATCAAATAAACCGAAAAAAATGGCACTGAGGGCCAGATAAAGCACACCACGCAATAAACGATGGATTAAAAACAAAAATAAGTTTTAATTACCTTAAGTTAAATAATCTTATCATCCTGACATAATTGCGCTTTTCAACAAACAGATGCGCTAACACATAACACAACAACCAAGCTGATGATGCTTCTAAACTTCACTTCTTTGACTTAACTTGCACTTGAATCTAGATGGCGCTGACTTCGTTCTAATTACAATTATAGTATGAGCGCTTTGGTGGTGGAAAAAGTCCTTTTAACTGATAACTTGAGGACCTTAAAGAAAGGCTTCTCTTTAGTGACAAACGCTCGATATCCATAGCACTCTTGCACGTTTCCTCTTACCTCGACTTAACGTTCATTTTTATTACGACGTAAAGAAAATTCTTGAAACACTCTAGCTTTCTTTCTTCTACACAACTTTACCATTAAACACGACAGACTGTCTTTTCAAATACGCCCAAATACAGAGTGGCTCAACGAGAAGTATACAGAGGGCGTTTTTAGGGTACTAAATTTAGAAATTTCGAAAAATTGAAACACATCAATTTTTTTCAAGGGGGACAACTTTTGGAATACAATCACGAACCGAGGGGTAAACCGCTAGCAAAAATTTGTACACCAAATACCTTTTCCTGAAAAAAATTCCCTTTAATTCCCTTTAATTCCTTAATTCCTCCTAATTTTTTTATTTCCTATTAATACCTTAATTATAGCCATGAACTCCGCAAAACGTTTTTAGTTCCTATTAATACCTTAATAATGCTCTCAATTCTCCACAATTTTTTTTATTTTCTATTAATACCTACCTACATTATTGCTCTGAATTCCCCATAATTCTTACAATAGCTCTATTCTCTATCATTGGGCTACAAAGCCGGAGGACGGGTGTTCGAACCTGGGCTGAGGTAAGAATTTTTCATTTCTATCAGAGATAGGAATTTCCTTAGATCAGTTTCGAGCATTCTGCCGGCTACTCTGAATTAGGTTTTCCTGCAGTTTCCCTAATTCGTAAGGTAAATATACAGGAGTAGTATACAACAACTTGAAAGCATTATGCGGGTCACTCTGTAACTGTGCGCAAGCCTGTTGAGGGCACGGAACAAGAGAGGGGCAATAAATAAACAAAATAGATAAAAAAAGACTAATATCTACCTTTATAACTTTACTAAAATTATTTATTGAACTTATTGATTTCTCCGTAGTAACATAAACGTTTTAAAATATAAATTTATTTTTGGTTCATAGGTAAGCAAGTGGTGAAGTTTAAAAAATATGAATTCCATAAAAAAATATTAATTTATTCAGTACATAATGTTATTACCAAAACAAACAAAAGATACTTAATCCAAGACAGAGTAATAAAAAAATTTAAATACAAACAAGCATCTTTAATAAAATCTTATACCAAATATTATACCGGCACGTCACAGTTTACAGCTAGTATGCACCGAGGTATGCACTATACGAGTCACTGATGTAAAACGATGCGTCATTTTAATTCTGATGTATGTTAGCGCATGCGCAAACCTATTTATTTCCTCCTTTTCCTTTTAATTCCTTTTAATTCCCTACTAATACCTCATAATACCTTTAATTTCCTCGGTAATTCTCAAAATACCTATTAATTCCTTTTAATACCTTCGAAATACCCTAATTCCCTCTTAATTCCCCCCAACTTGTACACTATTTCCTCCAGCGGTTTACCCCTCGTCACGAACCCTCTATGTAGGGAGCTTAACCCCTAAAATTTTAAATGGAATCCTATGGCAAATGGCACATTATTTGAAAGACAATTTAATTGTGATTACTAATCTGCTTTGCTTTTTAATTCTATTGATTCGTTTCTTAATGCAGCATAAACATTTATTTACATCTGAAATTAAATTGATTAAATAGGCTTAGCTCGGAGCACTGTTAACGTGAACTCAAGGCTAATTTTTTTTAGTTTAGGCTTTTTTGTAGTCTTTTGGGGCTTTGATAATGTTGAGAATGTTACAATCGACTGTTATTAGGCGTAGCCGTTTTTTTTTACTTTGCCGCCGACGATGTCCATTTCTGAATTTTCGTGGCTACCTCCTGTAGTTATAATCGACACTCCAGTGTAGTACTGATTTCATACCCTTAGTTGAAGCACTTTCGAACAATTTATTTGTTTCAGGAAATTATATGTAAGTGGACAACTTTATTTCGACAGTTGGCTAATAACAGTGAGATGGAAGCGATAATGGTTATTAATCAATTGGAGTCTATAATTGGACCGAAAACATACGGGACTATATCTTTGCTGTATAATTCGTTTAAGGACTTAGGAAAAAGTGATAAGATAGGTATGTCTCCGGTACTTCACACAAAATCTTCCTTCTTGTTTCCTGATACCTGATAGTATTTGATCAATTGCTAATTGGTATCAATTTGCAGATGATGCTCTATTGAAATTAACATTTACTATGTTGAACAACTCCAAATTAACTTCCTGTGAATTAGAACAATTGGTACCAGTTCTACTAACCATTTACAAGAGGTCTATTGAAAAACACGATTCTGTCAAGTTTGTAACAGTATTGGAATGTTTCACTTTGATACTTCCCAATTCTAAAGTAGGTATTGAAAATACACCCGTTCGTAAGCTGATTATAATTTTATAGAAATATGACCTTTTGGTACCCTTTGAGAAGCTTCTGGAATCCATTCCAGAATCGCTGAAGCAATCGATACCCCAATCACTAATTCGCACACTTTCGGACTTAGTAGGCGGCGACGATAAAAAGTTTTCATTTAAAGCAGATCGCATATTGAAAAAGATCCACAGTTTGGAAAAGAAATTTCTGAAACCGAATATTTTATCGCGCAGTACGAAGATGGTGGCGATGTCAAAAAGAGAAACGCCAACCTCTGAGGATGCAACGATTTTGCGTTTGTTTGGTCAGCCTGTGGTATCTCCCAGTGGGACTATTAGAGGCAGTCAACTCAATAACAATCCTATTAAATCAAAAAGAATTAAAAAGCCTGAAATACCCAAACCGTCTAGTATCTTTGACGACGACGCTACTTACGTACCCATTGATTCCGATTACAAATTTGATCGTAGCAAGTTAAACGAACATCAGCTGGAGATGTTGAAGAAGGATAGGTCTGACATACCGGCGTTGTACCAGGATTTATCGCAGAGCCAATCAAACTCGGTCTGCGCTTTGGTCGATGTTCAGAAGCCGAATCCAGTTTTAGATGGCCAGTCTTCGGATTTGTTTCAGTCCGAAAATCAGAATGTTGGCCAAAGTGGTACCAAAGACGATGAGAAAGAGGGAGATCCACCGCCAAATCATGTAGAAAATGAAACTCAGGTACAAATGGAGCCTGTGGTGACGAGTGAAAATGATACAGGCACTACTGTACAGATCAGCCTTAAAAAGTTGGGCCCTGTTGAAAGATTGCTTAAAACTCTGAAGGTGGATGTGGTCGGTGGCGAATTATTCACCAAAGTGGATGTCACAAGTAAGCGGTCCACTCGACGTCATTCGGAAAACCCTCACTCAGACAGTGGATCTAAAACGCCAAAGAAAGCCAAACCAAAAAAGGTTCAACTTGAAACGACTGAGCAGTGCAGTACTCCGACTTCAGCTCCTAAACAGTATGTTAATGCACGAAAATTATTGGAGAGCATCACAGAACCAACGTCTAAAACTGTGGATACTGCTCAAAATAGTGAGGACGTGATTGAGTCTTCCCAGGAGTTATCAGTTGAACCATTACAGCATCAAGATGACGAAACTAAAGCCATTGAAGAATTGCATAAACTTCCCGATGAAAAAATATCCGCTGTAATTGATTTGACAGTAAACAACGATGATTTCGATTTGGAAGAAATGGAAATCGAAGCGGGTGTAGAAACGCCGAGCAAATTGGGAAACATAGAATCATCTCCGGTGCATCTTGAAACACCAACGAGAAATGCCGAGTTAATCGAAGTGACTGAAGATTTATCACCGATCGCAGTCGAAAAAGCACCGGGGGAAATACTCGAATCAGAAATAAAATCCGAACCTACCGCCGAAAACGGAATTGTCCGGCAAGAGGTTGGAATCCCAACGAAACCCGAAGATCCGAAGATTGCGTTTGTTGAAAAATCCAGTAGCAGCACGCGCGCGGAACGATTGCTCCAGTTAGCCTCCGGAAATTCGTCTCCCGCCACTAGTAAACTCGCAAAGTCGCCCGCCAAACACGCGAGGAGGCGGGCTTTCGTCTCGGCGGAAACTCGAAGGATGATGAAAACGATGCAAAAGTGTCAGAAGGAGTTGCAGTTTCATCGACAAATCGACGGCGTACCTATCCCGAATGTGGAATACGAAAAGGAAGTGATGGACAACCTTTTGCATTTTGCCAGAGAAATTCCACCTCCCGGCGCGTCTCCCAGTTGTACCATTTTGAAGAGGAAAGCTTCTGTCATTGATGAGGAAGGATCATCCCCTCCACGAAAGGTAAATATAATACAACATGTTCACAGTCGCTCA